TGCAAAATTAAATTAAAATGATTTTAAGTTTTTTTCAAAAAAACTTCCCTTAAATGTTAATATTATAATTTTGAATGAAACCCCGCTGTTTACTCATTCATAATGATCACTTACGCTCCTCAATTATGACGCCAGCTGTTTCATTAACACAAAATTTCGTATAACTATAAAATTACAATCTTTTTCGCCTGTTTACCTAAATATTTAACGCGTAGTGAATTATTTATCAGTAAATCATAAAAAATTCAAACTGAAATTTTTTTACGATGTTCCAAGGTATAAATAATAATGTGCGAAAAAAAAAAGGTGGGTTTTTCGGTGAATGTCAGCAAAGCAAACACATTTGTTGATTTGAGACATGCGTAAGCCTCCCCGCAGTGATGGCATTAGCAGGGCTTCATCATCATCTCGTCCGATGGCACGTTTTGGGCTTCGCAGGATTTTTTCTTGCTGCATGAAAGCGAAAGCTACGGATTCGCCCATTGTTATAACAGCGCGACGAAAAGTCGAGACGGCATTCGGTTTGATTAGAAAAGCGTAGGAGCCCCTAATCATCTGACTTACGGACCGGCCCCCTTCGCGTGTTTATCTGCGCATAGATGGCACCGAAGCACAAAAAGCATTACAAGCTCGCCTGAATAAAAGCGCCTTTGTGCGTCGGCTTTCATGACTTTCCCTTCGTCGCTCTGTGTGGATTTTGCTCAATGTACGAATCCATGCATTGACAATCGAATTGACGACAAGATGTGCCAGCCGGCATCCGGCAATCATCAACAAAGTCATGTTTGCGTATTTATTCACGCGTTTGAGGAGGGACAAGTGAAAAGAGTCACGGTAATGAAAACCCTTAAATCGGACACCATATGGCATAGAATGTGGAATACAACCCTTTTTGGTGAAATATGTGAAGATGTCACGATAATGCAAATGATTTTCGAGTTAATTTCGACTTTTAACATCAAAATATTCAAAAAATTGCAAAATAAACTTAAAAGTGATTTTTGAGAATTTTTCTTCAAAAAAACTTCCCTTAAATGTTAATATTATAATTTTGAATGAAACCCTTCCAGGTAAGTATGTATACTCCACTGAATACATTATGCAATAATCTAATTGCTGAGCCCATGACACGACAGGTGGTGTATTTACGTGTGGTCATAGACATCACGCGCATCAAAAACCACCCCTCTTTGGCTCCCTTCTATTAAAGAATTAAGGTAACTATAGGTACCATTGTACTATTAGAGTTACCTAATACAATTCATTTCTACAAATATGATTAATCGCAAAAATTGATTTTTTTGATTTTAATCAAGTAATGGCGTCGAAAAAATGTGAGGTTATGGTGGTGTGCACCTGCGATGCTCGTTTTAGCACTACTTGCAAGAGCACAAAAGTATCCAGCTCTTATACGAGATACGTTGTTATCTCGATGCGGGCGTATTTTACGTCGCACTCTTGACTTTTATCTGCGATAACAGTGAAAAGGCTAAGTGTATGACGTCGCAGGCGCAGTGCGATGTGATGCTCACGATAAGCACCCGAATAAAACGAAATGTACGCTTGGAGTACGCACTAACCCCGCGCATTGATACCATCAGCTCAACAGGGTTGATGGCCCAACTATAAACGAAACTAAAACACAAGCACCAGCCAGCTGCTACTGTCTTCTGCTTCTGCGCCCAGTGTGTGTACTCGTATTAATATTGAGTATAAGCAGATCTAACCTAAACGATTGATTTTGTTATACACGTTCATAGATTGTGGTTATGTAGCATCATTTAGTAGGTATGTAAATTTTACGAGTTTTACGATCATCGCGTGACTCGGCCGCGTCGGGAACATGAAATAGGTAGGACCATCATTATGGCGTTCTGCCATTGCGAGGACCTTTTGGTTGTGTGGTGGTTGGAAAGTTTCGAACCATCTGCCAAGAGTCGGCGAGCGGGAAGCCGTCGAAACGCCTAAATGAGTTTCCTTTCGAAATGATTCACTCGAACAGCGTGGAGTAGAGTCCATGCATTTTGGATAATGACTATCTGACTTATATCGTTTACGAGTGCGCATGGAACAAAGCAAAACAAAGCATAAAGCGAAAATTGATATGTAAGAGGTATAATGGGTATAGGAGCAGCTATATTTTTAAGAAATTGCAAAACAAAACATTTTAGGTTATAATTTGGACAATCCTTTGCTATAGAACTAAAATTCAACGCTTAGAAACAGAAAAAGACAAAAATAAAATCAAATCTGAACCAAATACATTTTAATTGTCAACTGTAGGCAACTCTCCTTACACCTGATCGAGGAAGTGACGTCAGTTGTTTCTAACCAAGTTCTACATATTTTTTCATTTTCCAATTTTCACTAAATAAATATTGTGAAGAATATGTTGTAATATCAACAAGCACTTCCTAGTACTAGTACCACTCAAAAATTAAATTTACAAGTGATTTATTTGATTTGTTTACATTTTATCAAACTCACATTGGTTGTTTTAAGATAATGTTGGAGATTGTGCCACTGTGCCAGGACACCTTCAAGTACGAAAACGATTTGTTATGAAAGCGTGGCTCGTAACACTCGTCATGTGTCGAGTCACGACAGACGTCCGCCATGATGCGGCACACAATGAAAACGGAAACTTTGATTTACCACGCGGACGCCGACCGGATGCACGCCGGAAGCACACCAACTTGTCAAGTGGAAGTTTATTTAATAACCCCCCAACAAAAGTAAACTAAATGACACAAAATTCACGTGTGAATTAAAATTAAAAAACATAACCAAACATAACCTAACATAACCTAATATAATTATACTAGCTTTAACTAACAGAAGAAGTAACAATGAAGTAGAATGGCGGGAAGTTTAAAATGGCTGAAAGTATAGTCTATGGAAGTATAGTGTACAGTCTCCATAGTGTAGTCAATTGGATTTGATGTTGACGTAGCTGTCGGTAATACAGTGTGATAATACAGTGTGATGGTACTATAGTACTTAGGTTTGAGCTTCATTGCTGGAATGCTAGATGGCGTTAAAGTAGTCAAATAGCCAGATGCAGAGGTATTATTGGCTAAACAATTTCTTTATTTTATTTAAAAAATAATTTTTTTATTAAATAAAAAGTAGCCTATAACCATTCGGGGACCACTAAGAATATGTGTACAAATTTTCATGATGATAGGTTAAGTAGTTTTTGCGTGAAAGTGTAACAAACATCAGGACTTTTGCATTTATAATATTAGTAGGAATACGGTATATATTCATGTGCTGATTTGCATTTATTTGCGTTCTGATGTTTGTTTTCTGCCACAACGACGATGTTTGATTAATAAATTAAGAAGGAGTAAACATCGCTTTGAAATTAATGCAAATAGTTTTTTTCCGCCTGATATGCATCCAACCGCCAAATATCGAAATCAAACCGCACCGTGTGGGGATAATAAGTTTGCACAAAGGGCTGACTGGTTCGGCAAACATTTCTATAATATATCCGCATGAGCAGCGCCAGAGAGATGAATGAATATTACGGGTTCCGGGACCTGCTGCGCTTTCGACAACAATACCGTGCGAGCATAAAGCACCCCTTGATCTTTTGCGGATCCAGGGGCTGGGGGCGCATACTTCACGGTGTATAATTTGTATGATTAAGTTTGGTGCGTCCAACGAGGAACATATTTACTGATTAAGTCCCTGGTGAATTCGATGAGCTCCGGCTTTGGAAAAATATTGGAGACATGCTAATTAAATTTTATAAGGTTAGGTTAGGAGTGAAAGAAGTTGCCTAACGTAAACGCAAATAACCAAACTTTTGATTTCAGATTTTCTCAGATTAAAATCATTTTGATAGTTTTGTAAATAGTTTTAATGCTCCCCTCAATGACAACATATAATTATCAACAGGATTAAATTGCAGGCGTGACAATGCGACTCGTGCCATCATAAACGGCGCATGCGTAGGCGTGTTTAACTAAAGTTTTTGGTCGCTACTCTGTAATCAAACGCTCTAAATGTAAAACAAAACATCAGAAAAAAGTCCACGGATATTTCACCTCCGCGTTTGGAGGGCTGCCGACTCCCGGGCGTCTCCGGTTACAATTCGAGTTCGGTTCACATGGGAAATCTGCAGATCAACAGTGTGCGAGAGTAAAATAGAAACGAATGAGACGTGGTGCACCGCCCGGAGGTAAAGCAACAGTATCAAAGCGTTAATCTGGGATTGTTCCCTTCCGGCGTGCGCCAAAACGCAAAGAGGGGCATAATTAGGTTAGGATTGATGTTCTTTTTGTTCGCCTCAATGGGCTCCGGTTTCCGGCGGTGTTTCGCACGCGCGCGCACCGTGAATCTTCAATAATATAAGATGGTGGGCGTCTTTCACACACTCGACGATTATAATGCGACACGCACGTTAACATTGGGCATAGAATTAAATTAAAATCGCCCACGTTGTTTGCTCACCTTTTTAATTCATTTTAAGTCATTATTGTTCTTTAATTACAAACCACAATCACTAATTTTAATATTTTATAATCACACCCACTAATTTATGAGATTATTTATTACATGTATATGCTTAATTTACTATATTAATTAGTAATAACAATAACAACTCGTAAAACTTGAATTTTATTTCTGAATTATTATTATTATCAAGGTGTTGTACTGTTGCAATAACACATTTAACTTTATAAATATTTTAATGTATGTTTGGTTGCATATCTACGCATTTAAGGTTAGAACTAAATAAATTTCAATACATACATATTAATTTTATATTGATAAAAGTATCTAATGACTTTTTATCTAATATTTCAGACTAAATTATCATAAACATTAAATTTTAAGTCAAATTTTTGCATTTTTTAAATTCTGGCGTCAATATTTTCCGTCGGCAAGTTTTATTATAATTTCTAACCAAATTTAAAGACTTTTATGACGTTTTTTAAGGTTATCTCAGAGTTTTATTGACTAAAATTAAAAATATTGTAATATTTTACCTTCCAGTGCTTTGTTTCTTGCAAGCAACGCCAATAAAACATCAGAATTGGGCGCATTGTCCAACCCATGTGGACCCATCATCGACGGCCCGCCGGGTGGCAGCGGCACGTGCGACAACCCTCTTGATTGCTCCAGCAAGGACATTCTTTCAGTCACTTCACTTTTGTTGCACTTATTCACACTCAATACAAAATTTGCGTTCAGTTTATTTATTATTCATTCATGGTTTTCTGGCGGTAGCTGACGACGTCGACCGGACCAGACGGCGTTTAGCGCCCGAAAACCGCCGTCGCGCGCTTTTTTATTTCTTATCAGTCCCACCGACGCATATCTCGCGTTCTATCTTCGCGCCCGCTATTAAGTCATGCGTTCCGTTATCAGCCGCATAAAAATCGCGCCCGCTACCGCTTTATTTCGGGGCTTTGCTGTGACTGTTTGCACATCCAATACGACCAAATCCAGAAATACGTGCGAATTTTTTTACTCTTATCACCAAATCAAACACTAATTTTTTAAGGTATCAATTTAAGTCTCTGAATTCCATAATGCACATAGAAGATATTTGAAGATATAAAATTGAAAATATTTTTAATAATTGTTTATGCTTAGCACGTTTTGGTTACGGAGGCGAGGCTTGTCTGCTGCGAGCGGCGGCACTGTTCTGGTTGGCGGCGCGCTGCCTCCCGTTGGCGACTGAAGCGCTGCCGGCGTGGACGCCATTATTGAATATCAGTCTTGATTATCAACAGCGAACGAAGAGGCGCACGAGCCGGGAAAATTGTCTCCACGAGAGAAATAAAGAGAGAATTTACCACGCGGTGGGAAAGCGCGAACGAAATGAAAAACAAGCCCGACGGCGCGCTGTGACGTCACGGGAAGACGTCAGGCGTCGGCGCGAATACGCTTCGGGCGCCACCCCTCCAACACGCCCGACCTATGTGCATATTCCCATTTTGTTTGATATATGCTTACATTATAGGTATTCTCATATTGGAATTTTAAAAGAAAAAAAAACTTTTTGAATAAAAAAACAAAATAAAATAATTCATTTTGACATTGTCATTGTCATTGGTATTGTGACAGTGCATTTAATTTTATTAGAAAATAATTTATTGCTGACTTTTGTGTGAGTTTCTTCTTTCTTGGTGGGTTTTTTTGTATGAAAGTAAAGTTTTGGCTACTTTTTTGCTGTTTTTAGGACGTGTTTTTTAGTTTTTATCTGCTTTTGGAGAATGGTAGACTCGACGGCTTCGAGTTTGGGGACGCAACGAAGTGAAAACGTTTTCGCCCGCTTCTTGGACGTTTTCTGGTTCTCGCCGGCGCTGCTCCTCTACGAGCTGCTGCTTGAATTGCTTTGTCTGAATTACTTCGGCATCGCTTTCGCCTGCATGGTATACTTCGCATTTTCGGCGTTCATTCTACACACGGTGCTTTAATCTTGGAAAATGTTCAACTTGCCTCATACAGGGTAAAACAAAAAGAAATATATTTTCTTTTGAAAAATAAAGTATACCAACACATAAATTCATTGTTTATCGCCAAATTTCAAACTATGATCCCTAAAAAAACATTTTATGCATAAAATGATATTTTTGTGGATTTTCCGGAGAAAAAATGTAAAAAATGTGAAAATTGTGCGCGTGGCAGAAATAAAATACCAAATGCACAGTGCGGAGGTAGCGATGGCACATGAAGCATCGAAACCAGCAGCAATATCCACGAATGGGTGTGGTTGGCGGCGGTCGGGGCGATGTGGGCTTTGGGGGCGGCGTTACCATGCCAACCATGGCGCGCGTCGACACACTATAACGAACGCACCGCATGAAAACCTATAAACGTAGATATGCGTTCATATTTATCCACATGAAAATTTATTGAATATGTTGACATTACAATGAAAACGAAAAAAATTATGCATTCTGTGAGATCTCATCGTGTGGTTTTCTTATGCTATCAAAACACACTCAGCATACAGCTTCAGGCAAGTTCACTGGAAGCAAATGAAGGGATATAATTTTTAATTATTTAATAATACACCCTTCACATCCCTTAAGAACCGAGTAATTCACTTAGTCAAATATTTTATCATTCTGTTTTATTGCATGTTTAGTTATGAAAGAATTTTTGTTTTTTTTTGTTATTGATGATAATAAATTACAATCAAAAGACACAGTATGGAATATAAGGAAACAAAAAATGAACAGTTGTTTTAATAAATAAAAAATAAATCAAACGACGGGGGGCGGTGCGCTTGGCACGCCGCTGGCGTGTTGATTGCGACGATGATGCACGCGGCGGGGGCGCGAATTTGGCGACCCTACCGAAAAATTTAACTGCCACCCGCGGCGCACAAGTTTTACTTCAATTGCGCGCCCTCCGACTCACACCCCGCCATAAATATTAATTTATATAAACATATTACCGCTGCGCTGCGAGTTACGTAACATGGGGTTTACACTATTTACCAACACTTGATTTCAAGCTATTCCAAACAAAAATATCCCTAGATACATAACCTACTCTTTTATACACTAGATGGCGTTGTTTAAACATAAAAAACAAGCTGATGTTAACATTTTATGTTTATCTTTATTTTAACTCCTGGAAACTTTGATATTTATTGCGATCATCAAGAGATTTGTCGGCCGCATGGCGTGAGAAATGTTTGCGACGTGAGAAAAAGTTGTCGCCGGTCGGCGGAATCGCCAAGGGATTCGAAGAAACTTACCCCACCCTACAATCGCAAAAAACAGTGTGAAACACGGAAAAAAGTTCAAGAACAATTCATGTTCATTTACCGCAACTAATTGTCTGGCATTAAACGTGCAAAAATAGATCTCGTATAAATTGAATATTAAATAATCGACGTTTCAACGTCAAGGCTAGATGACAAACTTGTTGGTTGATGCAAAAAAGTGATTGTTTTTCGCCCGCCGGGCGTGCACGACGCTAACACAGCAATTTGCAATCGCGTACATTTATGCTCGCATTAATTACGTTCGATAATTTTATCACTTAATGCAAATCACAACCTGTGGTCGGGCAGTCCGTGAGAAAGGTGTCGTAACACGTGACTTAATAAATTATCGAACAATGCGAATTATACATCGAGTTTAATTTTAATTTAACTTGTCGTTTACAAGCATTTAAATGATTTTATATTGTTTTATGATTCAACAAATAATAAAATAATACCGATCTTGGTAGTTTTCTAATCAATCACTTTGTTCCACTTTGGAATTGAGAGGGTTTCGCCTGTGACGTGTTTCGCTACCGCCACAGAAAGAAATATATCTCGTTTGCGCCCTTTGCATGGTGGGAGATGGGTAGCGGGAGGCGGCAAGGGCGAGGCAGGAGCGTTCGCACCGCAACGCAAAAAGGGATGATTAATGATGCCAAAGTCAACATTCGCCTCCCGGCGGACTCTCCACGGCACTGCGGTGGAAATATCAACAGTGACTTCACTCCATTCGCCTGTTTACGATCCGTGTTTCATAAAACAATGAAAAACAAACGCGTACACCAATAAAAACCACTATCAACTCACATAACCTTAAAATATGAACAAACTACATCTCCATGACGATTATATCAAAAAAGACTTTTAAAAGTCAAATCTTGATTTTTTTCTTTAATTTTTACTATTTTTTATGGACAATATGTTAGCATTAAGTAAATCAAACGAAAGGGAAGTCCCAGAACTTTCGGACATATTAGTTCCTCATCCGTATTTAGAAACGAATGGGGTTCGCATCATGCCGAAAATGTTGATGTTAGCAAATCCATTCGAAGGGAAAATCTTCAAAGAAACAATAACCATACGCAATTGTGGTAGGAATCCGGCGTTTATCCGGGTATTACCCGCGAGTTCTTCAGTGAGTACACAAAAACCTAACAAACCTAACCTCAAATACACGCTTTTTAGGGTGTTCACATAAAGACAATCAAAAATGGCGTGTTTCTTGCTTCCGGGATGCAAATCAAACGAGTGGTTACTTATAAAGTGCGAATGATGACTTTGATCAAGACCTGCTCCATTCCAATTCATATTAATGATGAAGACTTTGTTGATTATCCAATTAAAATGTACGCATTTAAAAATTTATTTATTTTCTTTTAATTTTGGGAATGTTTTTAATTTTACAGAGGGATGACTCCGGTTAATCTACAGATTAAACCAGATACACTTCTGGATTTCGGACAGGTGGACGCAGGTAGTATGCCCACGAAGCGCACACTCACCATCGTCAACGCAGACGTCAAGCCAGCGCGCTTTTTTATCGATCTGGGTCCGAACGAATTGGACCTGGCCGTCGAACCCTTACGCGGTATTATTATGGTACATATTTTCATAACCTGAGATAATCATAACCTCATTTCAAGCCTCACTCATTCAATAGGGTGAAGATGAGGTTAAAATCACAGTGACAGCTGTATTTCCTGATGAAGGTCAATATGAAACTGATCTATGGATAATAGCAATCATTCCAACTTATATCCATGTGAAGGCTTCCGTGGGTATAGCAAGTATCACACCACAATTTGTCCCGCATACTCCTAGCTTCACTTTGATTCAATTCCCGATTACTTACTATGGGGCCACTGCTGTGCGCAATGTCATCATGACCAATTGTAGCATAGCCCAGTCATTTTTCTGTGTCCTGGGAGAAATAGAAATGGAGACTTTTACTTTGAAAAAATTAAGCAGGGAAGTTAAGGATTATAAATACTTTAAAATATCACCTGAGGAAGGCAGGTTGTTGCCCAATGACGTGCGGGTATTCCAATTTTTATATTCTCCACGGTTGAAGAAGAAAGACCATAAACAGAATTATCATATTGTTATGATGCGAATCAAACGGTTACAATTAAAAGACTTAAATCAGGATGATTATCCAGGGAATCTTTTTGAAGAATTTACTGTACAACCAGCAAGTACCAGTGAGAGGAGAAGCTCAGTGGTTTCATCAAGTAAGCTCCTTCGATAAAAATCAATATGATTACTAAATATTTTTGTTTTATGTTAAAGTATATGAAGAATATGCATCCATCAGTTCAATAGATTATAAGATGCCTAATATCCCTGAACTTGATAAGACCACTTCAATAGATGTCCGGTTGATGCTCTATGGTCAAGTTGAAGAAGTGAATGTTACAGTCCTACCAGATGCCTTAACCTTAGAAAACCTGGAAGTTGACGAAACTGTAACACGCGTGTTTCAAATCCAAAACAACTGTCAAACCCTACCAATAATCTTCCGATATCAAAAACTTGCTTTCGTGGACATTGAACCTAAACTAGGATACCTGAATCCATTGGAATCTGTGGAGGTTAAGGTACTGGTCACTCCAAAAAGTTACCACAAACATGACACAAACATTGTCTTTGAATTATTATACTACAATGAACCTAGAACTGACAATGAACTAGTCGTGGTAGGTAAATGTAAAATACCTTTTATAATGTCCCAGAAGATTACCAGTAAGAAGCTACCATCAGATCCTTTGATAGGAAAAAAGTTCCCGTTTAAAAAACCTAATCAACGCCCAAAAACTCCTATAATGAATGCGTTGGTAAAGAGTGATATCTACATAGGTCTACCAGATGATAGACCTGCAAATAACCTACCAGATCCATATGGAAGAACCTTCAAATCAATTTATGCAGCCCTTCCTAGATATCAACCTAATATCAACGAGTATGCTTTGACCTCACATGATCAAAGTCTTCTGGATGTCAAAAATTATTATAATATTTATATTAACATGGCTGCCAAGAAGAAAAACCCGAATCAGTTGAAGATTTATTATTGGAAAGATGTAGAGCCATACCAATCCAACCAGAAACAGGAAAAGATTCGGATACAATTGTAACCTTGGAGTTTATACCTCTAACACCTATACAATTAGTTTTAATTGATATAGAACCCAGGAATACCTTGGTGGATAACGTGGCTTTCAATTCCTCGTATACCCACACCTTGAATGTCAAAAATGGTACCAATAGTTTCCTTAAAATATTCCTCAAAGGTCGTTCAAATGAATATCTATTCCTCAACGGGAATAGATTTACCATACCTCCGAAAACCAACAAGGACCTCACCTTCATGATTTATATTTTTGCTCAGCCTGTACACAACTATGAGTTGGATGTGATCATCAACAATAGTTTTGTTGTTAAAACCACGGTTTTAATCAAAGCACGCCCAAAACGTTTGACTTTGAATACAGACATGTTGACATTCTACGAGAATGAACCTCCTTGTAAATTCATTGAACTCCATAATGAACTGAATGTGAATATTCCGTTCCAATGGAAGGTCCCACCTTCAATTCAGGTTGATCCCATGAAAGGTGAAGTGGTTTCAGGGAGATTCGTCGCGTGCATGGTCTCCTTCGAAATAGGTCTTGCTGAGAATATGGTTTATAACCTAGGATTATATACAGAGAACAAATTCTGTTCTTTGAGGGTACTGGTTGAAAGTACCAACTACAAAATTAGAATACCAAAGGTTTTAGCCTTTGATCAACTGGCATTGAATGTTCCTTGTAATAGAATCATACCATTGACCAACTTCAGTTCACAAAGAGTGAATTTCAAAGTCCAAGAGAAACACCTACCTGATGGGTTTAAGGTACTGCCTAAGGACGGATATATCAATCCATGTGCAACTGTTGATTTATCTGTATGTGCCAGTTTTAACACTCTGGGAAGTTTTAAGTTTCAACTGGAGATTATTGTGTTATACATGAAGAAATTATCCTGTGAGGTGTCAGGGACTGTGATCTTCCCCGAATTGACTTTCAAACCGGATGTATTGAGATTCCGCAAAATGGCTGCTTCCAGTTTTGATATAGCTTGTATCACTGTTGTGAATAATTCGGATGTGGTTGCTGCTTTACAATTTGATACCGACAGATTCCCAGAGTTTAGTTTTTCTGAATATGCCAACACTCCATTTTTGACAGATAAGGATATATTGTATATCCAAGCGAAAGAAGAGAAAAAATTCACTATACATTTCTATCCGTTTAATCCATTGGTGACATCATTTCCTTTACCGTTGATCATCAACAAAATCAACACCAGCAACAAATCAAAAACAGTTCTAATCACCAGACCTTCTATCAAGGTCTACACCCAAGTCCTGAGTTATAAGTTGGAAGTAATGTCATGGAAATACAACTTTAAATACTTTCCATATTTTGATTATAAAAACATCACGAGTCATTTGATCAAAATCTCCAACCCATGCAAAAGTGTAACTACGTTCTGTATTCGCTTAGATGAATTATCAGAACCTTTTGGGTTTAAATACAAAGAAGGAGTTAAACCCATTGATTATAAATGGTCCATGGTAGTGGAACTACAATCCGATGATTTTGTCACTTTTGAAGCCACTTACAACCCTGTTGAACCCGGTGAACACAATATAAGATTACCAGTTTATATCAGAGATGATTTCACGCAGGATATGCACAATTATTTTTACTTTGAAGGAGTATTCCCGAAAGCCACGTACAAATTCAAAGAAGAATCCATTCACCTTGGATGTATCCCATTGAATTTCACAGTATCCAAGCGGATTTTTATTGATATGTCTTATCATTACCCTAATTGCAATTGCACTGCATCGATTAACGATTCACATTCTTATGTGGAGATTGACCTGACACCACCAAGCAGTATTAATTTTTGTAAACTGGTATCCATTGTATTCAGCAGTCCATTGACGCATGTGTTGAATGCAAGATTACAACTTGCTTGTAAATGTCCAGGACCCAATTTAGAGATTGAGGTTTATGGAGGCTGCGAGAATAATTACATCACCATACATGCTTGCATACAATATTATAAACATACGGCAACTACAAGTTTTACGACCATGTTTGAAAATGGTGTAAGTAAGTTTAGACTAAAAAATTTATTTTTATTTTTTTAATTTTTTTTTAGGAAGATATGCCGAATATTTCTACGATAACTGTAGCTGATGCTGATAAGGAACAAATGTGTAGACATATCTACAAAACCTGTTTACCGTATTTCCCAACCGGAAATGATTTCTTTGATGCTTACATGAATCAAATCGTAGCGATTTTTGAAAAATGGTTATACGAACAGATCTTTTTTGGAATGAAGTTTTATTCTATCCCTAACACAATCTGCATACCGGATATTAAACATTATGAAAAACAAGGCAAACCGGAAGCCATTATTAAACTTCCTCTACAACATATAATGAACATTCTAATCGGACCTCTATTCATGGCACCTTTTGAAATAAAATACTCGGAAAAGAAACCCATATGGATGATAATCCGGAAGTTCTATCGTGAATTGTTAAACTTCTTAATGACTCTGGGTTGTTTCGTGAATATGATCCGATGTGAAATATTACTACCTTATAATATGTATCAAGAATTCATGATTCACATGGAACGCTCCGAGAATATTTTACCAGCAAAATGGTTTAATCTGATGGCGAAGCAAGCCTGGCTCGATCTCTTGATGCAATCTTATAAAGTCTTAGTCTGTCGAAGAATACTACAAAATGCACAAGCATTGTCTTCCCCTGCTGCAAGATCATTGATGGCGTTGATGAATGTAAGCTCAAATGAATTACCTATAACAGAACGTGGCGGAATCACAGTCTCCATGGTGAATATATTCTCGGAGGAAGCTGTCATGCTTATACAGTGGGTAAATAAACATTATCAGGAACTCAAAGAGAAGTTTATCAATACCCACGAAGGAAATGAGATGAGTGATACTTTCAAAAGATCAAAAATCGAGACTTATGATGATGATCTCTCGGATGGCCTTGGGATTATCTCATGTATAGTAGCAAATTGTTGTTTTTTGGAGGAATATTTAACAGGGATTTATGCTCCTGCGATGGATCGCATGGAGAAATTTAATAACGCGTATATTTTGATCAAGATGTTGACTCTTCTACAAGTTAGTTTCAAATTGAAGCCGATTGATATTATTGAACCTAATACTGTTCATATGATCATGTTTTTGACGTATTTGTATGATTTTCTTCAACCGTTGAAAGGGCAAGAGACACTTGTTATCTCTGCGGAATTATCAGAAACAAAAGTTGAAGAAATTTCGATATTCAATGATAATCCACGTAAAATTTATTACAAAGTGATATTTTTCAATAACACTGATGATTTATTCTCGGTGAAAGAATCGCTGATTACAGTCAATCCAGGAACTCCCTACAAATTAGCTCTTCATTACACCTGTCGGTTTCTACGCGTGCAGAAAACAGTTCTTTTATTGAGTGGAGAAATACCTGGATATCAATACACAAACTCAAAGATTTATTACATAGAAGGACGTCCTATGTTCAGCAAAAGTAAAATCCCATCAATTGAACTGAAAAGTGTGATTTATCAAATCACACAAGTTAGTTTTGACATCCAGAGTCCCTATAAGGCACAAGGCAGTTATGATATCTACATTGTGAATGATTCCATACCGGAAGTAGGCTTTATCTTGGAATCAATGATTGCTTACGAGAGTATTTTGGAAACAAGTGCACTTATGCGGTGTAAATTTCATTCGGCTGTTGGTGAAGCTGATGAAACCGGAAAGATACCCATGATGGCTGATATATGCAACACTATTAACACAATAAAAAGAGTTGGATATTGTTTAGGAACAAAACCATTGGTGATTTTATCGTTAATATTGATATCATCACGAAACCAATGAAAAAGGTGAGTCTTTTGATGTTGCATCTACAGAAAAAGTTAAGTCACTTCCCTTGTACGTGTCCAAAGAAGAGACCGGATGTTACTAATACAAAATGTCCGCGGAATGCAAAGGTTATGATTCCTTGTCGAAATGTGTATCTGTGGAATGCTGTTATGACTTCGTTCCTAGCTGGGAGGGATCCTGAAGAGGCTGAATTTTGGGATATTTATGGAAGTAATTTTAAAACTTTTAAAAAGATACATAACCTATATTTATTTCTATTTATTTTAGATACACCGGTTGGTTCACATATTGTTGAGAGACTTCTATATGACCACAAAAAGTTCCTCAATGAAGATATGGCTTATTTTATGAACAAAACATTTACTTATATGGTTCGTACAAAATCACCTGATTTGATTGTTACCCAAAAGAAGAAAGTCATCGATGAAGCGGCCATGTTACAAGAAAAAACCGAAATTTTAGTTCATTTCAATGAAATTATCAACTCTTTTTATTTAATCCTGGAGTCTACTGACGAAAAAGAGACGAGAACTTATAAAGTACGCGTGAACTATGATTAAACTTCCAGAATTTTGTTTAAAAAAAAATTTAAAGTTCAACATAACCATAAAAATATATTTACGGTAAATAAATATATAAAAATACAGTTAAAATTTATTTTTTTATGTTTTTGTTTGGGTAATTAATAGTGTATTGACGCATATTTAAAAATTTCTTATATAATTTCGAATTCAATCGATATTACATACACGATAATAATTTCCTCGTTGTTTCTTGTTTCAAACAAGTAAACCGATCGATACTAAAACGTTTTTTGTACTTTTAAGGAAATTCAACCGCTTTTAAACACGTTTTAATTTGTTCTCTTTACCTAAAAACTGCGCACGACACCAAACAAGGAAATTAAACTCAATCGTTTTATTGTAATAATTTGTTAGCTCAAAATTGTATGCTTTGCGTAAAATACGGAAATTATCAGCAGTTTGATTTGATCGGCGGCACGTAACAGATCCGAAACGTGAAGATTTGTCGCGAATTTTGCGCAGAAATGTGCGACGAAGCGTACCGCTCGCCGTTTTGCATGTGTGGGTGTCGATGTATTTTTCTATGAAAACACCAAGTTGAATTAGTGAGCGTTTGTTGGTGTTACCCGGCAGTTACCACGCTTAATCTAATGTTCTAATGTATTGAAGGGCGTTTGAATGTGAAAAATACGTAAATACTCCGGATTCGTCCGTTTGTTTCATGTCGCTAGTTGATATGCGCGTATCATATAAATAATCGAGTGCGAGTTACGCTCCCGGATAGTCTCCAGGAGGTGCAACGAGTGGAAAGTCACCTGCAAATCAACACCAAACATAAAATACTAAATAATTTGTGGTTGGATTAAAACTGACTAAAAGTGACTTAAGTTAAGTGTTAAGATGGATGCGCAACAGTTTAAAGAATTTGGTTATGCTGCCATTGATTTTATTGCGGATTACATCGAAAATAATCGCAAACGGTAAATTATTTTAATTAATTTTACATTTTAAATAAATAAAATTATTTTAACTTACTTAAGTCATTTGAAGTGATCTAATAAGTGACATTTAACAATTGTAAAAGTAAAAATTTTTGCATACCAATTGCGATAAGACTAAAACAATTAAAACGTAAATTAATATCAATTCGTATGTAAAAATATGAATCACGTTTTGTAACAATAATCGCCTGTAGAGAAAGATTAATTACCTGTTGCTCGTGGTTTTAAGCCGCTTTACGACTTGCATAAATTAAGAAATTGATCAATTTTGCGCGGATTTGATTGCATTTCACTAATCGGTTTCTATGAATTGAATTATAAGCGAATTAATAAACTAGCGGCTAGTTAAACGCTGCAAACAAGTAAATAATTACATAATTAGATGTTTTCAACATTTGCTCACAACTTACTTTCAACAATAATTAATCAAGGCATACACGGGAACATATGTTATGGTTGGAATAATTTAATGTATATTATTAGATAAATATTTATTGTTGCTTATCGATTGTTGATAATATAATGGTTAATATCTGATTATGAGACCATGCGCAACACAAACAACACTCAAAAAGCATTTTGGGTTGCCTATATTAGCAAGACAGACAAAAAACAAAATAAAACTTTTTACTTGCGTTTTTCTTGGTTTTTATAAAACTAAAACACAAATAAAGTGTATTTCAACGAAATTAATTCAATATTTCATGAGGATATTGCTTTTAACTCTTTTTATTCGAGTTTTTTCTGATTATGTTTCTTTTGATAGTGATGTTTTGCCTTCGGTGGAACAGGGCTATCTGCAACCACTAATACCCGACCACGCACCACAACATGGCGAACCATGGCAGGAACTGATGAAGGACATGGACCGCGTCATCATGCCGGGCATCACACACTGGCACTCGCCCAACTTTCACGCTTACTACCCGACGGGGCATTCGTATCCGTCCGTCGTCGCCGAGACGATCACTTCCGGCCTCAGCGTGATTGGATTCAATTGGGTAATGTACCGCGAGAAATCATAACAGATGAAAATTTAATTGCGTGGAAAGTAATTCTTCTCCCCAAACAGATTGCAAGTCCAGCATGTACGGAACTTGAGGTTGCGGTGATGAATCTGGTTGGGAAAAATGTTAAACCTCCCGGATGTCTTTCTAAATTGTTCAGAGAGGACCTGGTGGGGGTGTAATACAAGCTACAGCTAGTGAAGCAACATTGATTGGTCTCCTAGCAGCAAAAGAAAAATTCGTCAAGGAATATAAATCCATCCGACCGGAAATGATGGAATGTGAGGTTAAAGCTAAATTGGTTGCATACTCCTCGGACCAATCAAATTCCTCAATTGAGAAAGCAGGTCTCATTGGTTCAATGACCATGCGACTTCTTCCTTCTGATTCTGATGGTAAATTACAAGCTGAAGTCTTAAGAGCAGCCATTTTGAAGGATATAGAAAAGGGTTTAATACCTTGTTATGTGATTGCTACTTTGGGAACCACCCCAACATGTGCTTTTGATGATTTGGAATCATTAGGTTTGGTCTGTAAGGAATTCAATGTCTGGATGCATGTTGACGCTGCATATGCCGGATCAGCTTTCATATGCCCCGAATATCAACACTCATCTCAAAGGTGTTGAACTAGCGGAATCATTTAATTTCAACCCGCATAAATGGATGATGGTCACGTTTGACTGCAGCGCCCTCTGGGTGAAAGACGCCAAATATCTTGTGCAAGCATTCAACGTTCAGCGGATTTATCTGAAGCATAAACATCAAGGAGATGCTCCGGATTATATCCATTGGCAGTTGGCACTTGGTCGCAAATTCCGCGCGTTGAAATTATGGTTTGTGTTGAGAACTTACGGAGTTGAAGGATTGCAGAAACACGTTCGGAATCACATCCAACTTGCGAAATATTTTTCGGAACTATTGGCTACAGATAAACGATTTAATGTCTTCTCATGTAGCATGGGTCTTGTATGCTTTCATTTCTGAGGTTAGGAAATGAAAAGACACAGGAATTATACGATAAAATTTTGGCGCGCAAAACAGATTTTCATGGTTCCCTGCACAATTAAAGGGCTTTATTTGATTAGATTCGTAGTCTGTGCGAGAACATCCGAGAAAAAGGACATGGATTTTGCCTGGAGAGAAATTACCACCGTCGCGGACCAAATAATTGATTGTCAAGCGATAAACATGGAAAAAATACAAGGAAAGAATGAAATGACGAAAATGCAAATTAATTATGGGAAAGATAATAAAAAATACGTGGAAGTTGAAAGAACCAAATAATTTTCGATATTTTTTTTATTTGATGTTAGATAAATGTTTAGAAATTATTTGTTTTATGTACGAGTATTGTATATATATTTAGTTAATAAAAGTTTTTGATGACTTGTGAATAAATGTGATGTGTCAGTGTAATAAAATCGACAAATCTCGAGCACGTTTACTTCTCACGTAGCAAAGCAATTAAAGAAACGCACAATGCAAGTCGGGCACGAGAAGCAGAGCAAGAAAGGGCAAAGCCCAGCCAGCGCGCCGGTTTAATTAAATTTCACTTTTCTTCCCGCCGTCTGATTGGGTGAGTCCTGTTTCAACCCTCGGACAATAAAACTTTGCACATAAACTTGTTCCACCTTGGACTCGCATGGAAACAGTCGTCGTTACAATTGATAAATAATGATTCATTAATAACCAAACAATTTCGTAAGAATTTAAATTTTAAACAATATTGAATCAAAACAAATTTGTTTATAATAATATACAATAAAATTAAACATTAAACATCAGGTCAAAGCACTAGGATACAACTTTCACAATTTTTTTTTATTTTAATGAAATTAATTTAATTAATTTATAGATTACTGGACCTGCAATCACTGAATTGGAAGTGGTAATGATGGACTGGTTGGGAAAGATGTTGGATTTACCTGAAGACTTCCTAAATTGTACGGACGGACCAGGAGGAGGTGTTATAAAAGTAAATTTTAATTTAAACATCATAAATTAATATTAACTCAACCATTTTGAAACTTTAGGGTACAGCAAGTGAAGCAACCTTAGTCTGTCTCCTAGCAGCAAAAGAACGCACGGTTCGCCGAATCAAAAAACTTCATCCAGAATTAACAGAAGCAGAAATAAAAGGACGTCTGCGTGGTTACAGTTCAAACCAATCTAACTCCTCAATTGAGAAGGCAGGTCTCATGGGTTCTATGACCTTCCACCTCCTGGACTCCGATGAAGAAGGTCGTCTTAAACCAGAATGTTTAAAATCCGCCATTGAGGAAGACATAGCCAAAGGAAACTTCCCCTGTTATGCTGTTGCAACTCTGGGAACAACAGGGACCTGTGCCTTTGATGACCTTACTCAACTAGGTCCAATCTGTAATGATCACAATGTATGGTTACACATTGACGCTGCATACGCAGGTTCTGTCTTCATCCTCCTGAATATCGCCATTTGAAGAACGGTCTTGAACATGCAGACTCATTCAACTTCAACCCGCATAAATTCATGCTGATCAACTTTGACTGTTCGATACTCTGGGTGAAAAACTCCACGCATCTTATGAATGCATTCACAGTAGACCGCGCTTATCTCAAACATGGTTATGAAGACACAGCTCCCGAATATCTCCACTGGCAGATCCCTCTGGGACGCAGGTTGCGTTCGTTAAAGATTTGGTTCATGTTGCACACCTATGGAGTGGAAGGAGTGCAGAAGCATTTGAGAAGACAGATTGCGATGGCGAAGCATTTTGCCAAGCTGGTTGCCAACGACTCGCGCTTTGAGGTCTGCAGCGAGAACGTCGCGTTGGTGTGCTTCCGTGTGAGGGGGGCTGACTATCTCACCGAGAAGCTGATAGAAAAGCTGCATGAACGTAGGAAGATTTACGTCATTGGCTACACGTACAAGAATCACAAGGTTGTGCGATTTTCAATCAACAGCAACGAGACCAACGAGACGGATTTGGAATTTGCGTTCGGCGAGATTAAAAAGGAAACGGAAATGATTCTTGCCGAACACAAAGAAAACACGATCAATGAAGATTTCGCAACGTTAAATCTAAAAGAAACACGGTTTGATATACACGTGGAAAACTTCAAAGTGGAATCAAAAGATTTATTATAAAATAATTTATATTAATATGTTGATGTTAATTTTAAGAAAATTATACGAAATTATAGTCTAGATAAATAGATATAAATAAAACAATAAACAAAAATAATTGACAGTGTTTTTCTGACGTTTTCAAACAAATCATCATAAAATTTTGTGCGCGTTTGTGATTGTGTAACTTTCAGCCATGTTTGCAGTAAATTTAAGTATACAGAAATTAAAGAAAAAACTTGTCCATGTTGCCCAATTCGCCCAAAGGAGGTAGAATCAGGGTTCCACTGGGTTTTGTAGGTGTTTTGGCACCACTTTTAAGAGATCTACCAGATTGTAGTTTAAAATACATGAAACCAGTGGCTAATATCAAATGGGGAGAAGTCATGCAAAAAGTTGGAGGTCCCAGAGCACTGGTCACTTGCTGTGATGGAGAAGAATATTGTGCAGACTATGTTATAATCTCTGTCTCTTTGGGGGTCTTAAAGAACCATGCGGATAAAATGTTTTGCCCGTATTTATCCAATGAAAAAATGGAGGCTATCAATAACCTAGGTTATGGTCACGTGAATAAAATCTTCCTGGATTACACACGTCCGTTTTGGGTGTGGCATGAAGGTGGGATCAACTTTGCTTGGTCAGCTGATGAATTAAACAATCGATGTGAATGGGTAAAAGGGCTCAGTGCTATTGAGGAAGTAGAAGGATCTAAACATGTATTGTGTGCGTATGTTTCTGGACCTGAAGCACACGAGATGGAAAGGGCTACTGATGAAGAAGTAGCTGAATGTATCACCAAAGTATTAAGGCAGTTTACAGGAGATGCCTCTTTACCATATCCCACATCAATACTAAGATCCAAATGGTCTTCGGATCCTTACTTTTGTGGCTCCTATAGTTACTTAGGAATTGGGTCAACTGTAGGTCATCAATGCGATTTATCATCTCCTTTACCTGGAACATGTGACGAGCCGCCCATTTTGTTATTCGCGGGTGAAGCTACCTGCGCTGGGCATTACTCAACGGTACACGGGGCAAGGTTAAGTGGCATCCGGGAAGCGGAAAGAATTATTCAACTCACCAAGAAATTCAAAGGACCACCACCTAATAAACCTAAGCTACAAGTTTAGATTCTCATCAAAACCCTAAAAATTTATCGTGTCTTGTTTAGGTTAGGTTCTAAATTATGAATAAATACGTGTTTTTGTTATGCATTTTCTAATGATTACATTTACACTTACAACTTACACAACAATAAATACTTTTTATAACAACTATAACATAGATTGGTCCAGTTTGGTCCTTTACATCTCTCATATTTCGTAGTTTTAGGTTATGTGGTATTCAATGACCATTGGTGGTGAATTCTTCATCTGCTGCAGCTTTCACTTCCTTCCAGGATAATTCAATGTCTTCGATTTCAGTGTACTTTGAGCAAACAGCCATTCTTAGAAAATAACAATCTCCAATCTTTGAAGGTACCATGTGGATAACACCACGTCCATTGATCTTTTTCAACAGAGATTCGTTGCTTTCATTTGAACCCTTAGCACGGAAACAAACCAATCCCATGAGGACCTCTTGAGTAATCTCAAACCTATCATCACTCCTAACCAAAGACTCGAAGTGTTTTGCAAGCATGATATGTTTCCGGATGTGTTTCTGTAAGTTTTCAATACCATATAAACGCAAGACAAACCATAATTTCAGGGACCGGAAACGACGACCTAATGGGATCTGCCAATGACGGTAATCAGGCGCTGAACCCTGCTGGTCATGCTTCAAATACAATGGATCAACATTGAAAGCATTCACAAGCCATGTGGGGTCCTTCAACCACATCGCGGAACAATCAAAGTTAACCAGCATCCATTTGTGCGGGTTGAAGTTGAATGAGTCAGCGCGATCAATACCCTTCATGAGGTAGCGATATTCCGGGCAGATGAATGCAGACCCAGCGTAGGCAGCATCAACATGCAGCCAGATATTATTCGCGTTGCAAACGGGGCCCAAATCTTCCAGATTGTCAAATGTGCAAGAAGATGTAGTTCCCAATGTACAAACAGCCTGGTAAAACCATACAAATTAATTTCAAGTGGTTTTACATGTTTATAGAGTAATGGCGTGGGTAAACTCAAGGTTACCATTTTCTAATTTAGTATAAACATGTTGAATTGTGTTGTGCAAGTGTGTTTCACATTGCTAAATTGCAAATTTCTCAAGATCTGACTTACGTAAAATGGAAACAATCCAGCAGCGATGTCCTCTTTGATCGCTTGTTCAAGCGTGGCACCTTGCAACTTGTTGCCGGCGTCAGGTAACAGCGAACGCATTCGTACACCGCCTAAGAGACCGGCTCGCTCGACCGAAGAATGACTTTGACCTAAAAGGCAATTAAACTTATTTTAATCTAATTAATTGCATTCATAAATATTTATAAAAATATAATATCCCACGGGAGATAAGAGTAATTTTTAATTTAAAAAATAGTATGAGAATAAATTACATTTAAGAATTATCCAGGAAGAAATATGTAGATTTGTTAATAAATCTCGTATTTTGCAACCTCACACACTCATGATATCTGTATTTATCTCCACGTGCATTCTCCCATACATACAAACAACTTCGCTGGTATTTTATTTAATAAGTGCATTGCAGCGCCATCTCGCGTCAATTTATGTAACTATGATTTATATTTCTTATTTATTTTTATTTTTTAACTATTCTATGCATTTCTTGAATGTTTAATCTCCCTCTATAGCCAGATTGATCAAAATTTACTTACTAGAACAATATCCCACAAGTTTCCCAATAATATCAGATTCTTTCATTTCTGGATGCTCCTTCTTGATCCTGGCAACCGTACGTGCTTTAGCCCCGAGCAGAGCAACCAAAGTGGCTTCACTAGCGGTGCCTTGAATCACGCCGCCACCTTTACCCCCTGAAGAAGCAAGAAAATCCTGCGGGAGATCCAACATCTTACCCAGCCAATCGAGCACGATCACTTCAAGTTCAGTGCATGCTGGGCTAGCAATCCAAGAAAACCCAATACAAGCAATCGAATCGCTCAAAATATCAGCGACAATCGCTGGATACGAATTAGCAGTGGGGAAGTACGCGTGGAATCTCGGCGAATGCCAATGAGTCACCTAATGAGAAAAATCATTCATAAAACTTGTGTTTTTAAGCTGAATTTTGTGCGGTTGACGTACGCCCGGCATGATAACACGCTCAATGTCGGCCATCACGTCTTGCCATTGGTCAGGTTGTTGTGGTGCTGATGCTGGAAGCATCGGACGTAAATAACCCGGTTCGACTGTTGGTAAAACCCGTCTGTAAACAATACAAACACGAAAAAATATAGACGCAGTTTAAGTCGAAATAAAATTACTCAACGCCGATGTGAATTAAATGTTTATAGTAAGCGTTGAATATGAATAGTAATATAAAATTGTTTAGGTCAAGGTGCACAATCCGCGTGCGATTATTTATGTGTACAACTTTTACATGAAAGAATTCGAATCGAGTTTCATTTAATTTAGAACAACTTTTCAATGCGATATATTCCAATATTGACTTAGGAATTGTAATAGAAATTTAAACCTTGATTATAATTTATAATGAGCAATTAAAATCGCATTAGTGATAAGATTAAGATATCATCGTGTTAATGTCTTTCTTTACCTTAACAGTTAACTTGCATAATAAATTAGTTTATTATTATTTAAATTCAAGGAAGAAATGTGTAAATATGTAGTTAATTTATTGTTTACACTAATAATACCGGTTGTAAACAAATTAATAGGTAATAAGGTTATGTTCCCTTTTCTTGCGATAGATGGCGTTGTTACATGTCACTTAAAAACGTCATTTTTTGCGTATTTAAGGTTATGTTACTCAATTTATGCAAAATTTATTTCTTGACTGCAACGCAATAAATTCTTCCAGCCGGAACATAAATAATTGAAATGTATTTATTCTTCATCTGTATGTTAAGCATTTGAATACCATTCAAACGTAACTTAAGGTCGTATTTCATAAGCGCAACAAAAACATTTTATTGTAAGCTTTATCCGTAGATAATTCAACGCACAAATAAAAAGTTATTGTTCTTGCAATAACAATTTATTAATAATTAAACGTTTCGTAATGTTTATAGTATGTACAATATGTGGAAACAACAATGGCGGCGGCGTTCCGGTCATGCGAGTAACCAAAGTAAAGGAATGAGGTGAATGCAATGATTTTGACTGAATTAAAGATTTGTATCAAGGATATTTGTTGTCTTTCTAACAAGTATAACCAATGACCCAGATTAATAAGCCTTGTGTTGATATAAATTAAATTTATGTTTAATTAATTAATAATAATTACCTGTCTCTGATGTTTTCCAAATAATTCGTAACATAATCAATCATCTCCTTTGCGAAATCCTTAAACGCAGGCGCGTCCATTTCTAACAATAAATAAATAAGATAAATAAATTGCCTTGAATCAAATTCAAGGTGAAAGATTCAAAAGGCACAAAACATTCGTTAATTGAATGAAAGCTTCGTCAGATGATGATAAGATAATTCAATTCACTTCCGACGCGATTTAATCGAATTAAACCCGGTGTAAGTTACTCTCGAGTGATATCAAAACTTGTCTTCCAACACTTTTATAAAATTGACATTTAAGCTTTCATTCAAGGCTTTTTAATAAATTTTAACTATTAATTACATAATTACATACCATTAGTTAGTTTTAGATTGTCTAAATCTTTACTTATATCTCCACTGCGTTTTTCTCCCATTTTTAAAGCCTAAATACAATTTCTAATTAAATACCAACACCAGTTAGTTTACCAACACCTTTAATTGATGTGAATATGTATGCACTCACTTGATGACTTCAATTATTGTACACTGCAATCACAAATCACTAATTTATGCCGTGTGGGAGTGCGTGTTGTTGAACGCGCAGTAATCGCCGAAACAGTAAAGCCCAAAAGCGGCCGGAGCGTTTTAAATCCGCGTCCGCGCGCACAGAAGTAGAAGCAGAAACAGAAGGAAGCGACGGCGCCATCAAAGTAGGGGGAAACGATTCGATACGCTACCCAAATCGATCACATATTATGACATGAATTTAATACCAGAGATAAAAAATTATTTAGTATTATGGCTTTGTATTTATTTGTACAAAATTAAGTTATCACCAATTTAATTTTTTTATTGCTTGTATTTAAAAATTGTAGTAAAAAAATTAGAACAAAATTTGAAACAAAAACATTTAAACAAATTTCGGGCATTGGACACACGCAAATAGGATACATAAAATTGGTCCTGGGAGAAGTAAACCATGGTTTTCTTAATTAATTTTTGCATGCGTCAGTTTTTTGCGTCAGTTTTTGTTGCATAAACTTACAAATCATTTTACACATCCTTTAAATTCTATTTTTGCAATAAAAAATAGTCTATGTTATTCTTCTAGGTCCAAAGTATCTCTGTGCCAAATTTTATCAAAATTGATTAATTGGTTTTTGTGTTACAGCGACACAAACATACAAATTTATTTTTTTAATTTCTGACACGTTGTACGTTAGTCCAAATTTACATTCAATTAACACGTCGTGTACACATTGCCACATAAATAATATTTATACAATTTGTATTGATGTCCAACTGACATCATCCCGAATGATTGATTGCGTCTTCTTATCACAATCACATTAATTAGCCTACTAAACATCTTCAAAGCGATAACAACTATATGCCAACGATAAAAAAAAGTGAAATGCACTTGTGACGAGTGTAGAATAGAACCAGTAGCTAAGCAGTTCAAATGTTGCACAAGTAATGCAAGATGGCAAGGTCGTTGTTACTTCACACACCACGTCGAAATCGAAATCGCCTCGTGTGCATTCAGACGCAAACGAATTGCGCTCGCATTGTGTTGACCGGTGTTGACCGGTTGACTTAATTACGGGCATTATCTTTATTTTACGTTGAAATGCCTTTAAAATTGACATTGGTAATGGCGTCGTTTCCGTAAATTACAGTTGTTTTATTTGCATATTACAATATGGATATTTTGTTGTTAATAATTATGTTTTGTTTTTAATTCATTGGTATTTTCCAAATAACTCGCTGTGTTTTATTCATTTATAATTGTTTCAGAGAAAAAACTAACACGTAATCAATCAGTTCATGTAGTTTAACCTCAACATTCGTGGAAAATAATGCAGTGTTGGTTCCAAAGGGCTCTTAATCATATTCTGTCATCATCGTCCTATCATCAATCTACCAGTATTATGTGTATATTCAATTTGGTATAGTATACAGGGTGTTACAGAAATGAATTTTATGTGATTTAATTATATTCCAAAGAGATATCATGTTTTATTGGTAAAAAGACCAAAAACTAATTTTTAGAATTTTGTTTTTGTTTTTCAAGTTCTGGTCCTGCCTGTTGCTTTCCCCAGGTCGAGGTTTCATTGTCCGCGTGTAGTGGAGTGTGCTTTCAGTGCTTTGGTCGCTTTAGGCTTTCAATTTTGATTGCGCGCCCTTCCCTCCAGCAGTCCTGCTGTAATCTCGGCTCTCCTTCTCTTTTAGCTTCTATCAGATTACTCCTGCCCGGCAGCCTGTTGCCCTACTGCACTAGTGCCTTTGTGTAGGTAGGAGGAAATTGCCCGAGTCTGGAAATGGTTGCCATGCCAACAAGTCGCCTACAGAGTAGTCCTGAATGAATTGTCGAAGTGGAGAACACTTCACTCACACCTTGGAACTGTAACTCTACTGAAACCTACGGCCTGGTCGTGAACAGAAAAGGATAATGGACTTTTTATGTATTTATACATTGCAAATCCAAAGATGAGGATAAACTTAATTTGAAAGCTTCTTTCTTTTGGTGGTCGTAGATTGATTGTAGTTAATGCATAAATCAATTGTTATTAATAAATATGGTGTTAAGAGGGCGTTGAAAAACATAAACATCACTCTGTCAAATCGGCATTTGCAAACTTATCATGATCAAAGTTTAATCAAAATTCTCTCATCGGTGTAAGAAAAGTGCAGGTTATGGGCAGGAGGTGCTGAATGAAGGGCGATGGGATTTTTGATACCAACGCTACTAGCGTTTATCCTTAGCTCCTGCGGAGTCTGCATTTTCCACGATGCAGGTAAGGCGGGTTGTGAGCCGCTCGTCTCGTCCCTCATATTTCTCTTCGGCGTCTTTCTGCTGTTATGGGACCTCCGCCTGTTTCCATCCAGTTTGCGCACCCTCGTGCAAATGGCCGCCCTCATCATGCACGTACGTAACCGTATGTCAGTTGCACTGTCAGTGCTTTTAAACTTCCAACCTTAGTTTCTCCTGGCCACATTCTGCATGGAGCATATAATGAACGACTTCTGGTTTCCTCTGGAAGCCAGCATGATCGCATTCCTTCCAAAGGTGGCCGATTACGAAGCGTGTGTCTTGAAACAGTTTGGCTGGAAATCACCCGGAATGCTTCGCTTCCTAAAGTCTGACATCTCGCACGTGATGGCTAGCTACGCAATGTCTTTGTTTTTCCTGGTCACGATGCTCCATGCGACTCGTCTAATTGATTTGCGACTGCTCAGGTACAACAAATTCTGCTTCTGCTTCCGCCTCGATGAATACACCTGTGGAATGTAAATTTGCTCGCTATGATTCTGATCGTGTTCTTGGCGCCTTGCAGGTGTGGAAGAGATGTATTCATCGAGGATATTATGAGAAAGATGCGGAGATCTTGGCGCAAATTTGTTAAGAAATGGACTAAACGAGCGATGAAGTTCCAGAACAGCGAATGCAACATCTGCGACGAAGCCGGGCCATCCAGGAGCCGCAAAGGTTACCGTTAATGTCACCAATTCGGAGGTGCTTCCCAGGGGAACAACTTTTGAATTTTTCGTTAAATTTCTGTGAGAAATTTTACTTCTAGTGTATTACTGCTCCAAGGAAGATGCTAATAAACTTACGCTGCTATAAAATGATTTCAATTTGCTCACATTTTATTTCTAATTGTAAATATAGTTGAAAATAATCAGTTTCCCTTGTTTAGTTATAAAAATTTGATAGATTTAGAAGTGTTGCCCTTATTTATGTTTTAATATGTTCATCGTATTTATATTAGTTTGTGCAAATAAAATGTGATATTTATGTTCTGTTTATTTATTTCATTTACCAGTGAAGAAATGAGGCATTGCGTTTAATAAACAAACAAATGTTAGATATCTCAACGAATCGGATGTCACGATGAGATAAGTTTCTTTTGATAATTTAATTCAAGCAAGTGCATCTTAGCGGCATCTTGGCTGAAAGACTAGAGTTACATTTAAAGTTACACGGACATGGCAATCTCCATTTACCGCCGTGTTTTCTCACAGACACAAATAAACAATTTCACTGCCACAAACAAGCCATTATTTAATTTGGAAAGGACATCCTAGCGCCATCTTGCGGCAAACTGTATAACTACGTTTAATACTTAATTAATTTTAATTTAAAATTTCAGATCCTTTAAGTTGATATTCTTGAAAATCCTTTCAAGTAGAATTATTACGTTATAAAATAAACCTACATTCAAAGTTTTAGCGTCTTAGACCATGTAGTTTTGGCTACAACAAAGAAATTGGCATGTATCTGACAATAACAATGCCCATAACCTCAGACTTGATTCAAACAACCAGTGGAGAAGACAAAATAGTTAAATTATTAGTTGCATAACATAATAATTTTAATAATATAAATACTAAAGTACAAACTAGAATACCCAAAGAATGCATCGGTTTATTCGTCAAGTATTGCCAAACTTCAAACAAGTTAATTTCCTGGCATTCTCCAACCCGATCATCAACAAAGTAAAACTACATCAACAACCTCTAGTCAAAAATAAAAGTATTAAATTATTCCTAACATTAAGCGTGCTGCAATGGCTGGGATTTGAGAAGGACGACGAAGAAAAGGAAAGTGAGTTAATAATGACACTAAAAAGAGCTGTTTTATGTACTCAAAGAGAACAATACGACAAGGCTGAGCAAATGTTGCACATAGCTTTAAGACTAGCCCAGCAGCAACAGAACAAGCAGGGAATTCTGTATTGTTTTGACTTGATGGGCAACCTAGCCTTTGATACTTTTCAATTGGAGAAGGCACAGAAGATATTTGTTATTGTCATGCAAATGTTACTTGAAAGTGGAGTCAAAGAAGATGATAACAAGGTAAATAACTTTTTAACACTTAGTAAAGTAAGAATTCTTCTAATGAGATAATTTTAGATGGTACATGTCAGTTTAAAGGTTGCAAGAATAAACCACCTTTTAGCAAGAGAAGATGTTGCAGAAACAGGCTTCAAGTGGTGTTTAGAAAAGATAACACCAAACAAAAATCAAGATTATGACACAAAACTCTTGTATGGAGTTGTACAAGACTGGTATGCACAGTTTCTACTTGACAGAGGTGAAGTGAATGCTTCTTTGGAGCATTTGAAAGAAGCTTATGATGTGTGCTGTGAAGTTGAGGGTAAAAACACTGAACAAACCATGTTATTACTTAATGATTTGGGTATTACTTCATGGAAAGCTGGAGATATTCAAAAAGCTGAGGCGTTTTTAAATGATGCATTGATTTTGGGTAAAAAATTAGAAGATCAAAGGCATTTGGGTGTTGTACAGTCAAATTTGGGCTTAATTTACTTACAAAACGGTTTTGTTGAGAAAGCGCACGAGTTTTGTAAGATGGGATGGAAGTTAGGTAAACATTATGATGATAATGAATCAATAGGCCAGTCTACATATTGTCTAGATCAAATTAGAGAAGTATTAGGAGAAAAACAACAAAACAAACAGAAATAAACTAAAATTTAGTCGAATTTAGACGTGAAAATGTAAATAAATATGTTTAAATATGTATTTTTGAATTTAATTGCTGTGTACAACGGATAGAATCTTTTTTACACCATGAAGAGAAAACTATTCATATTCAGCTATAAGCACCATCATATAGACGCCAATCAGTAATGCGGCGACTTGGAAGAGAGTCTGCAGGAAACTGGGTTTCTCCTCATCCAGTAATTCTGGAATCACCGAAACCAACGCGATGTAGATGAACCCACCAGCCGTGAACGGCAGAATCCAGTTTGTGGGCAGCACACCACCGCCACCTTGCATCAAGAGAGAAACTGCTGTGCCTGCAAGTGCACCCAGAGCTGTGGTAAGTTGCAACAGCATTGCATTCCTCCTAGATACTCCCGATTGCAATAAAATCGCGAAATCGCCAATCTCATGTGGCACCTCATGCAATAGGATTGTAATAGTTGTGACTATACCAACTGTATTACCAGCTAGATATGAGGAACCAATTGCCAGACCATCAGTGAAGTTATGACTGAAGTCAGCTACCAGATTGAGATATCCAGCTATTTTGATATCTTCCTTCTTCTTGTCTCCATTGTCCTTTTTATCAGCATCTCCTTTTTCTGCTTTCTTGGGTTTGACTGGGGCATGGGAATGACTGTGACCTCCCTTCATGATTCTAACACTCTTTTCTACTACTAGGAAGGTGACAATCCCAGCAAGCACCCAGAGACCAACAGACATATCATGGGCATGTCCTTCTTCTCCATGTTCATGTGAATGGCTGTGGGAATGGCCTCCATCTACTTCCATGGTTGCATGTGGGATGAGATGTAAGAATGCATCACCTAGCAGACCCCCAGATGCAAACGCCAGCAGGACTTTCAGGAGTGGTTGTTTTGCCTCAGTGTTGTCCAAAGGAACAAAGAATAAAATGAAGAATGGCGCGGCACTTATCAGAAGTGTGGAGCCCATTGCATTCAGCCAGACATCTTGATTGACTACCACTTTGTGATGTTCTTCTGGATGATGATGATCATGTGAATGTGAGTCATGTTTGTGCTGTTGGGCCTCAACATTGGCTTGCTTGGAGTACTTGAAGTGTGCAGGTTCATCGTGCGAGTGGCCGTGATGGTCATGTGCATGTCCATGCCCATTTACTGCACTGTACAGCACAAGAGTGACCGCGCAGATGAAATAAAGTTTTGCGCACATTGTAAGTACTTGTTTGTAGCGATTATACTAAATGAATACTTGGAATTTTACTGTTACGATTACACCACTCGATTGCGCTGCGTTATCATGGTATTGTTATCAATGGGGCATCTGCATTGTGCTTGTGTTTGATGTGTTTCTTCTCTTTGTACAGCACACGAGGCAATAACTGTAATATAAAAAAAAAACTGATAAGAACTTGATGAATGCGGCACGTAAACAGAAACTTGTCACGTTTCTCCTTGCTAGTGACATCTTTAAATGACTTCAAATATGAAGTTTAAAGTGAATTTGAAGCTAAATTGGAAAATTTATTCTAATAGCATCAAATAATAAGTAATCTATCAGTTAATTACTTAATTAATATTATGCATATTTATTTTTTAGTTTAAAACAAAAGCATATGCAATTTGTGTTTGAATTGCAGTTATGCGAAACTATAGGCGACTAGAGGAAGTACAACGTTACAAAGCAAAATATTAAAGAAGTTTGTGAGGTTACATCGCCGGATACTGACTCCGCTTTTTCAGTCAAACTTCTCCTCAGTCAAGAATAAACCTTAATAATTTAAAATGTCTGCACGCTACGATCGCGCTATTACTGTATTCTCGCCCGATGGCCATCTTCTCCAGGTGGAGTACGCTCAAGAAGCCGTCCGCAAAGGCTCAACCGCTGTAAGTTTCATTAACCTCCTAATGACTCTGCATTAACAAACATTATCATAAACTTAACTCTTCAATTATCAGGTTGGTGTACGAGGAGCCGAAGTTGTCGTCCTGGGCGTCGAAAAGAAGTCAGTTGCGAAACTTCAGGAGGAGCGCACCGTGCGTAAAATCTGCCTTTTGGATGACCATGTTGTGATGGCATTTGCTGGCCTTACAGCAGATGCGAGAATCCTCATCAACAGAGCACAGATTGAATGCCAGTCACACAAACTCACTGTAGAAGATCCAGTCACATTGGAATATATTACCAGATATATTGCGGGACTTAAACAGAAGTATACACAGAGTAATGGCAGGAGGCCATTTGGCATTTCATGTCTCATTGGTGGGTTTGATTTTGATGGTGTTCCACATCTGTATCAGACTGAACCTTCTGGTATCTATTATGAGTGGAAGGCAAATGCTACAGGTAGATCAGCCAAAACTGTGAAGGAGTTCCTGGAAAAGTACTATTCGGAGGAGGAAATGAAAACTGAAAATGGAACTGTCAAGTTGGCTATCAGGGCTTTGCTTGAAGTTGTGCAGTCTGGACAGAAGAACCTGGAGATCGCGGTAATGCGTCGTGGTCAACCTATGCAAATGCTCGATGTCGACACGATTGAACAATATGTTGTCCAAATTGAAAAAGAGAAAGAGGAGGAAGCTGAAAAGAAGAAGCAGAAGAAGTAATTTAAGGCAGTCATGGTTTATGGCGATTTTTTCTATTAATAATTATTCAACAACGTCGATCAGTTGCTTACTTATTTTTACAATAAATACACGTTAAGATAATAATTCATATTTGTTTCGGTATGTTTTACATGTTTATGTTGTTTTGACATGTGCGGGATAAGTTTATCGCTTGGTGTAATGTTGGTTGCCTATGTTGAAATGCTACATTTGGTTTGCCTACGACAAATTCTCTTGTTTAGGCTGTCAGAAAATTTCTTCTCTGCGTTTCGCAAAAATGTCCAGTTTAAAACTCCTCCAGGGAAGCTTTAATAAATTGCAGCTTCGAAATGTGGTGTCCAGGTCATTCCTCGCCGTAAGATGCGTGTCCAATCAAGCTGATACAGAGACACACACAGGGCAAGTATGTACATTGCTTAACCTTACTGTTTCATAACACTGAATTATCATTAGTTTATGATTTACATTATTTATTTTTATTATTATGCATATCTTGGGAATTTCTAGAAATGGGACAGTGATGATTATCGCTTGGCTCGATTCGTGAATGCGCCGAAACACGTCAATCCTAATTGGGCTATCAAAATGATAGATGAAGTACCACCCAAAGAATGCCATGAGCGGGTAATTGCTTGTGATGGTGGTGGTGGCCCAACTGGCCATCCAAAAGTATTCATTAATTTGGTAAATCAATTACAATATTTTAAACATTTAATTTAAAACTTATTCGTTTTATACTGTTTTAAGGATAAACCTGGAAATCATGCTTGTGGCTACTGTGGGTTGAGATTTTTCAAAGGAGATCACCATCATTAGTATGGGAAGACCTTAGAAAATTGCAATCATGGTTAAATGATATAAATGTATAAACTGATTCAACAACTAGTTGTGTAATTTAAATTAAATATGTAGAACAATATGGCTTATTATAGCTTCAGCGCGGCGTCAGGAGATGCGGAATTAAATTCTCCATTGGGTTGTATTTATTTGTTGCAGGAATTCGACCTGCAACCCAAATTTGCATAAAAGGGTGATTTTTTCACATTTTTTTTTCTTTAAATGTGAGTATAAATTTGGGTTTGCACCCGACCTTGGCGACTTTTGTTAGGTACTATAAAGTGATCTCAGATGGCGTGACGATGTAGGTTTACTTCGAAATATTCCAGCGACAGAATGTTGTTTTGTTCAATCGAGTGCACATTCCACACTTTCGACTTGTGTTATTCTTTGATGTAAATTCGGTAAATCGTGTTATATTTCCTGATCACCGGTAACAATTAGTGTTAATAAATGTGTTTGATCATTTATCAGCTATTTATCGCGTGTGTAATCTTCGTAATTGTAAATTTTGCGTGTTTTATTTATTGACGTGTTCGTGAGTCCGTTGCCGTCGGGCGACGGCCGATGAAAATATCAACGCTATGAATGATATAATTAATTGACTTGTGAAAAACATATTGGTCATCAACAGAGAAGCATGGATCAATGTGCTACCAGGTAAATATTAAGAATTTAAGAATTTAATTCTTATAAATTCATCCCGGCGTCCGCCAGCTGAGAATCGGCCATTACGACAATAATTCATAAGAATATTATATAAATAAAATGATTAATTAATACTACAATTAAAGTAACAAGTATTTACTATTTACGTTTAATATTTAAAGTAAATCAAAATAACACTCAATTTCATTTCTTTGTCTGGTTCGCGCAGAATAAAATAACAACTCACACTATCTCTTAACATTCCAAGTGATCTTCGAATGCAATCATGCCATGCAATATGCGATCTTAAAGTAATATAGAATTCGTGCGTTGTTTGCATGTTTTTGTTTTCGGGGTTATCAACATCACCTCAACGCCGAACTTTTTGTGCGCATGTCCGGCGCCGGAAGCGGCGCAGGGAAACAAGTATCGTGCTTCCGCAGCGCACGCTCTGCATCATCATTCAATGCGCGTCATTATCTGCAGTTACACCTCCGCTAATAAAATTGCCAATAATGTATTAAATCAGTAAAAAAGTGTTGCTACCAAGTGAAAAACATTCCTCGAGGCACTCACAAGTAAGTTTCTTGCATTATTTTCATTTGCGCCTTTTTATTAAATCTGTAATTCGTAAAACTTGCACGCTGCATTGTTTTATGCGGCGTTAGGCGCGTGTTTGCAATATGGCCGCGATTCAAACGTCGTTTTCACGTTCGTAACCACCAAGTTGTATCATTACATAAATCAAATCATGTACTTGCAATGCGTCTAATTGGAATATTCGGATGTAATTTTATTGTGCAATCGACTTGAGGTATGGAGTGATCGTAGTTTCACCTTCGCGAAGTGTACGCGGCGAAGTTATCAGCTGTTTGTTTGCTTTTCACATGTTTCAAACGGTAACTTTGCGGCAGTAGAGTGCCAATTGTGCAGCACTGCTAACACAAAGAGACGCCATGTTGTTGTTTTGATTTTAACATTCCAACATTCCAACACCATTCGGCACTGCTGATAACACACTCTTATTTTTATTTTCTAGCGTTACATTTATCATTTACTTATTCTTTAGTATTTTGTTACATTTTAATTCTGTTTTATTTTCTGTTTCTTGCGTGCGACGTTGTTGATGGTGCATTACGATCGGGCTTTCAACCCACTTCTTGAAAACGTTCCTGTTTTCCATCGCAGGCATGTATATTAAAAAAATAACTGTTTTTTCTATTATTTCTCCTTGTGCTTAAAATTTCCTGCTGTTTCTAGATGACATTTCAAGGTCACCCACAAGATGTCCAGAATTAGTCTTACTTTCCCAGGAATGGGAAAAGGTTTGAACATTGCTGTAATGTTTTTCTAATATCTCTAATAATTTTTTAAATTTTCCGTAACTAATTGTTCTTTCTGCTTGTCTTTCAGGTACATATTCGATATATTGGGGCATTTTTGTAATTCGGGCGCGTTCGTTTTCGGTTTAGGTATGTACTTTTTGTGTCTACTAATATTCCACACCTTCATGTTTTAACACACTACCTCTTAATATCATTATTACTTTATTATTTTCTAATTCTTTTAATATTCTTATCTTTCATAATTTAAAAAATCCTTGCCAATTTTGATTAATTTATTTTTTATTTATTTTATTCTTTAAAAAATTAGTTCCGAATATCTACCAAATCATCCTTACCCAGTATTTTTAATCTTTGTTTTGATTCACAGGTATAAGTGATAAACGATATTCGCGAGAGACCTGGAGAGGTGTAACGAAATACTCATCGAGTGCGGGTCGCGACGTGTTTTAATTTAACCATTTTATTGCATCGCGATCAATTAGCTATCGAAGGAGGGTCGTGCCTTGTCCCCTTTCACCTGTTAGGGAAAGTACGCAGTGTTTATAAAATGTATCCGAATATTCGACAAATCGAGTGCGGAACACGATTAAAAATCCGAAAGTATCTCGTAATTCGTATTGCACTATTAAAATGCGGGTTAAAAATAATTCCAATTCCATGAGGGTTTGTACGGGGCCTCAACGGACTGCAAGCATCCTACCAGCGGTTTGGACTCAAGACTGTATTATAATATCAACGCCTTAAGTAGTGAGTACACCTGACACCAAACAGGCTGTCTTGTATCTTTATGCGCCAACATATGCACGTGCAATCGTCGGTATAGCGTCGTATTTTACCCCATTAAATTAAATTATTTTAAATTTCCATCTGATAGAGAATTTTCCAATCTTCCATAATCTACAATTTTCTGGTTGTTATCTCTTTTAAATTAGAAAATATTTGCTATCAAAAATCGTCTCTATTCATCTTTAAAATTTCCAATTTAACTAACTTATTTTATAGAAAATTTTTCGTACTGTATGTTTTTCAATCGCGTTTAGTTTTTGAGGAAATCGAGATAAATTAGAAGATTTTTCTTGTTTGGCCTTGTTATCCTCTCACGCCGTTGGCATTTGCCGCATGCAGCACATTCTATGATTCTAGTAGTATAGTTTAGATCGCATATAGGTAGTACCGTGCCAAACATAATTCGCGTACAAGGTCGCGTGCTATCAGCACTCCGTGTTTGCACATTTACTGTTTTTACCTGCTTGCTGGGGTCATGCAACGGGTACAGAGTTTTATCATAAACTTTTGCGTTCTTGCTTGCTCGACATGCACTATCTGCGGATGATGCAGACTTGTTTTAAGCGACTCGTATTGATTGTTCGGACTTTTGCTTTTTAAATTTACTTTATATTAATCGCGTTTCGTGAGCATACTTATACAAGTTACATTGTTCCGTGCCGATTGCTAAATGAATCGGATATAAAATCACCTCCATGTAAAGATACGGAATTAAATTCTTCGTCGGGTTGTATTTATTTGATGCCAGAATTATTGTTGCAGAGATAAATAAAATCCGATCGCAGCATCTTAATCTACGGACTATTCTCTATAAGATAAGCTAGTTAAAACGGAAATCTGAGAGATGAAATTTTAATTCTTAAGAAAAAAATTGTCAAGGGGGGGTGCTTGATACTTTTTTTCGACGATTTTCAAAAATTAATATCTCTTAAACTAAAAGAGATAGCTACCAACGAATTGTTGATTATGAAAGATGGAAAAATTGTCTATCAGATATGAAGATGCCCTCTGGGCGAAACATGTCAACTCAAAAATAAAATTGTAAATCCAAAATCACGTATAATGTTTAATAAATAAATATTTTTTATAAAGATTGGAAAATTTTCAATCAGATTAAAATATAAATTAATTCCTGATTTCTTGCAATTAGAAATTGATATCTTTTGCGGAAATCATTGCTTCAATAAATTTTTCAATAATACTCAAATCATAAAATATAATTTCATGACTTAAATTTTAGTTCAATAGCATGAAGTAAAAATCACAAAATAGAATTGAATTGTTTATTTCTATATTCATCGATAAGCGTGTGGGCATTCGGCAAGCGAATTGTGTTTGTTTTGAACACAATTTACTTTCTTATCGCTTCCGCCGGGTGGAATGCAACACATGAGACTCCCGAGTGTCGTGTTTCAATCATCTCACGTCGCATGCAGCATATTCTAGTTTATTATTTTCATTGATGAATACGTAATCCATTGCATAGTTTAAAAATATTTATTTATTAAAAGTTATACGTGATTTCTTCTGGATTTACACTTTATATATTGAGTTGACATGTTTCGCCCTGAGGGCATCTTCATAAACATCTTCAGTTTATAATCCAATTATATTTTTCATTCTAATTTATGCGAATATATTATATTGTGCTAGAGTAGGACAGAAAAATGATCCTAGTGATTGCTGATTGTCTTGAAACTTTAATGCGATTTTGCATGCGAAATTCCCCTTAACGAGTTTTCTAGTCGCACTCCCTGAGTTGACCATTCTGCATGCGACCTTGTTTGTTGCAAATAGTGCCCGTTTTAACCGGCGTGCGCGCAAGATTATCGCGTTGTTGTGTGCCGTTGATGCTTGCGTTGCGCCGTGTTCTCACGTTCGCAGCGTAGTTTTCTGCCGGTCGGCGGTTGGGCCAGACGTGTTTCTCGCGGCTGTTTATCATTTTACTTTGAGTTTGTAATTTAGTAAATCGAGTTTTTATATTATCCATCGACTGCATTTAGCTGTTACGGGTGTGTTTAGTGTTTTATTACAAAATCGTTAATTTTTGTTGCCGTTCGATGTGCGTATTGCAAGATGACCGCGTGCTATCAACTTGTTTACACTGTACGTACACGAGATACATGTAGCATGCAACGTCTTGCAACGTTTGTTGTGATATTATTTGGACAATGGATTGGAACAATGACAATCTTCTTCGTGAAAGCCGAGAAAGAACGGTACAGTGCAAACATATTTAAATTTTAATTCACGCATTCGTATTTGCGTTGTTCTACAAGTTTTATTCATACGAGTGTAGTTACGTTTTTGCTTAGGCCGGGTTGGAACGATAGCTTATCATTGTTGTGAACATGCTTATCTAACCGTGTCTAGTATTACTGTATTTAAATGTGATTTAACTTTAGTTTGTGGTGAATTCTGCTCCCTATTCTTGGCCATGATCCAGCGATCTATTAAGGACCGTCGCAAGCGGCGATATAGTTTTAATATGCTATGTGACAGCACATATTTTCGCCGATTGTTTTGAGACTTTTTAATGCGATTCCTAGGCGGAATTCTACTATTGCTTATCAGTATTTGTTTATGTATAAACAAGTTTTCGAGTTGCATTTATAATTTATATCATATTTTACACTTCGCCGAGAAGTTTTATTGCATGTTTTGTCTCTGCCTCATTTTATCATTACTTGTACGCAATGTTCTAACTATAGTTCTCTTCTCTGTTTTAGCAATTACCTTCGAGTTCCGATGCCCGAGTCACGAGCTAAATTAGAATGCGAATTTGATTCGCTTCGTCGGTCGACTCCCGATTTAAAATAAAATAAATATTGACACCTCTTCCCGCATTTCCCCTTAACAATGTAATTTATTTCACAGATTTTATCATCTTCAACAATAGTCTTGAGTGTTGCAACGAGTAAAATACTGGTATGTAGTATGTGTAACTAAGTGTTTGTTTTGTACTTATCCCCACGTGCTGGTAATATGTACGGCTTTTTAATCATTGAACGCGAGCTGGGCGTCACACAAACTCGAGCGGGGTGTCTAGAGTTGTAGAAATAAATTCTCCGTCGGGTTGTATTTGTTAGCGGTAGAAGTGACTCGATTCAGGGTACCTTACGAGGCCAGCGGTAAACGTGACTCGTGTTCAGGGCACCGTATGAACCCGGCGATAATTTGCATGAAAAAATCACCCTTTTCGTGAAATGTTTGTATTTTTTCGTGTTTGCGCGCGACCTTAGCGACTCAATAATTTCAGCGTGGCGTCTAGAGATGCGGAATTAAATTCTCCGTCGGGTGGTATTTGTTTGTTGCAGGAATTCGACCTGCAACCCGCGAAAATTTGCATAAAAGCGCGATTTCTTCACCCTCTTCTCGTGAAATGTTTGTATTTTTTCGTGTTTGCGCGCGACCTTAGCGACTCAATAATTTCAGCATGGCGTCTAGAGATGCGGAATTAAATTCTCCGTTGGGTGGTATTTTTTTGTTGCAAAAATTCGACCTGCAACCCGCGAAAATTTGTATAAAAGCGCGATTTCTTCACCCTTTTCTCGTGAAATGTTTGTATTTTTTCGTGTTTGCACGCGACCTTAGCGGCTTGATATATTCAGCGTGGCGTCTAGAGATGCGGAATTAAATTCTCCGTCGGGTGGTATTTGTTTGTTGCAGGAATTCGACCTGCAACCCGCGAAAATTTGCATAAAAGCGTGATTTTTGTCACCCTTTCTCGTGAAATGTTTGTATTTTTCCGTGTTTGCGCGCGATCTAGGCGGCTCACTAACGTCAGCGTGGCGTCTAGAGATGCGGAATTAAATTCTCCGTCGGGTTGTATTTGTTTGTTGCAGGAATTCGACCTGCAACCCGCGAAAATTTGCATAAAAGGGTGATTTTTGTCACCCTTTCTCGTGAAATGTTTGTATTTTTTCGTGTTTGCGCGCGATCTAGGCGGCTCACTAACGTCAGCGCGGCGTCTAGAGATGCGGAATTAAATTCTCCGTCGGGTTGTATTTGTTTGTTGCAGGAATTCGACCTGCAACCCGCGAAAATTTGCATAAAAGGGTGATTTTTGTCACCCTTTCTCGTGAAATGTTTGTATTTTTTCGTGTTTGCGCGCGATCTAGGCGGCTCACTAACTTCAGCGCGGCGTCTAGAGATGCGGAATTAAATTCTCCGTCGGGTTGTATTTGTTTGTTGCAGGAATTCGACCTGCAACCCGCGAAAATTTGCATAAAGGGTGATTTTTGTCACCCTTTCTCGTGAAATGTTTGTATTTTTTCGTGTTTGCGCGCGATCTAGGCGGCTCTATAATTTCAGCGTGGCGTCTAGAGATGCGGAATTAAATTCTCCGTCGGGTTGTATTTGTTTGTTGCAGGAATTCGACCTGCAACCTACGAAAATTTGCATAAAAGGGTGATTTTTGTCACCTTTTCTCGTGAAATGTTTGTATTTTTTCGTGTTTGCGCGCGATCTAGGCGGCTCACTATCGTCAGCGCGGCGTCTAGAGATGCGGAATTAAATTCTCCGTCGGGTTGTATTTGTTAGAGATAGAAATGACTCGATTCAGGGTACCTTACGAGGCCAGCGGTAAAAGTGACTCGTGTTCAGGGCACCGTATGAACCCGTCGATAATTTGCATCAAAAATCACCCTTTTTCATGAAATGTTTGTATTTTTTTGTGTTTGCGCGCGATCTAGGCGGCTCACTAACGTCTGCGCGGCGTCTAGAGATGCGGAAATTATCCGTCGGGTTGTATTTGTTTGTTGCAGGAATTCGACCTGTTCGAAGGACTAATTTTTGCTTGTTTTAGGGATTTTGCACCTGAGTCTGACATCGTAGAAGGACCATTCTTGTATCAGATTGTAAGTATTAAATTTCTTTATCATTTTCCTTAATAACTTTTGTGATTATCTCACAAATTGACCCCCAAAATTGCATTTTTATATTCGAAGGACTAATTTTTGATGGTTTTAGGGAGTTTGCATCTGAGTCTGACATCGTAGAAGGACCATTTTTGCATCAGATTGTAAGTATTGAATTTATTTATCATTTTCCTTAATAACTTTTGTGATTATCTCACAAATTGACCCCCAAAATTGCATTTTTATGTTCGAAGGACTAATTTTTGATTGTTTTAGGGATTTTGCACCTGAGTCTGACATCGTAGAAGGACCATTCTTGCATCAGATTGTAAGTATTAAATTTCTTTATCATTTTCCTTAATAACTTTTGTGATTATCTCACAAATTGACCCCCAAAATTGCATTTTTATGTTCGAAGGACTAATTTTTGCTTGTTTTAGGGATTTTGCACCTGAGTCTGGCATCGTAGAAGGACCATTCTGGAATCAGATTGTAAGTAATTAATTCCTTTATCATTTTCATAAATAACTTTTGTGATTATTGTACAAATTGATCCCCCAAATTGCATTTTTGTGTTCGAAGGACTAATTCTTGCTTGTTTTAGGGATTTTGCACCTGACTCTAGCATCGTAAAAGAACCATTCTTGCATCAGATTGTAACAGAATGAAAAACAGAATAGTAAAATATTAAATATTGGCTATAAATTGCCAAAATATAACATACCGTTCTGTATTTTAGTCCAGTTGACACACCCATCTTCAGTGCAAACAAAACATCATCCCTCAATACGCACCCAGCAGTAACAATGAACTTCCAGTTGATCCTTATTGATGCTGGACTATCTCAGGATTAGCCAATGCTTCATTGAACAACTGGGAAATGTTTATGTAAATGAACATAAGCATATACATAAATTCAAATTAATTATTCTTACAGGATCCATAAAGACCCCATTTAAAGCAACGTGCAATGTGAAGATAGCGGTAGAAGTTACACCCTACTGAAAGTAACCGTAGAAGCGGTAAAGCTACGTTTACGTTAATGAAGAACTCATCGGACTCCACGGTACAGCGAATACCGTAAAAAACATAAGTTAAAAACAACTTTTGCATAAGTATGCATACAAAACACGAAAAGCAGCACCAATTTTTGATCAATAATGTACATTAAACGCGGTAATAGTAAATACACAGTAACAAGGAAAATCTTCAAATTTTTCTCTCAATTTGTTCAAAATTAAACGCGATAGAAAAAACAGATTTTTAAAATTTTAAATTAGGGAAAATTTTCAAAAACTACAATTCCTATGTAACGAGTACTACGGCGCAAAACACACACAACTTTCAATATAACTCGCGTCACGAATACCCTTTCTGGCAATAAATTTCAATACAGGGTGATACAGAATTAAATTCGCGCATCTGGAGAAATTTGTTCGAATCCTATTATGACAATCAGCGTTCGCATGTTATATTAAAAAACTACAATCTTCAGCGCAACGAGTACTACGGCGCATACACACAACTTTCAATATAACTCGCGTTGTTAGTGGATTTTCCGCAATAAATTCAAAACACAGGGTGATAAGCAGAATTAAATTGCGCATCTGGAGACATTTGTCTAAACTTATTATGACACCGCGTTCGCATGCTATATTAAAAAAAACTACAATTCCTAGCGCAACGAGTACTACAGTGCGAACACACAACTTTCAATATAACTCGCGTCACGGAATTTTCTGGCAATAAATTTCAATACAGGGTGATACAGAATTAAATTGCGCATCTGGAGAAATTTGTCTGAACTTATTATGACACCGCGTTCGCATGTTATATTAAAAAAACTACAATTCCTAGCGCAACGAGTACTACGGCGCATACACACAACTTTCAATATAACTCGCGTTACAGGATTTTCTCGCAATAAATTCAAACACAGGGTGATACAGAATTAAATTGCGCATCTGGAGACATTTGTCTAAACTTATTATGACACCGCGTTCGCATGCTATATTAAAAAAACTACAATTCCTAGCGCAACGAGTACTACAGTGCGAAGACACAACTTTCAATATAACTCGCGTTAGGGAATTTTCTCGCAATAAATTCAAACACAGGGTGATACAAAATTAAAATGCGCATCTGGAGAAATTTGTCTGAACTTATTATGACACCGCGTTCGCATGTTATATTAAAAAAAACTACAATTCCTAGCGCAACGAGTACTACGGCGCATACACACAACTTTCAATATAACTCGTGTCACGGAAATTTCTGGCAATAAATTTCAATACAGGGTGAGACAGGATCAAATGGCGCATCTGGGAAAATTATTCAGTACTTATTATGACGCCGCGTTCGCATGCTATATTAAAAAAAACTACAATTCCTAGCGCAACGAGTACTACGGCGCATACACACAACTTTCAATATAACTCGCGTCAGGGAATTTTCTGGCAATAAATTCAAACACAGGGTGATACAGAATCAAATTGCGCATCTGGAGACCTTTGTCTAAACTTATTATGACACCGCGTTCGCATGTTATATTAAAAAAACTACAATTCCTAGCGCAACGAGTACTACGGCGCATACACACAACTTTCAATATAACTCGCGTTACAGGATTTTTCCGCAATAAATTCAAACACAGGGTGATACAGAATTAAATTGCGCATCTGGAGACATTTGTCTAAACTTATTATGACACCGCGTTCGCATGCTATATTAAAAAAACTACAATTCCTAGCGCAACGAGTACTACGGCGCATACACACAACTTTCAATATAACTCGCGTTAGGGAATTTTCTCGCAATAAATTCAAACACAGGGTGATACAGAATTAAATTGCACATCTGGAGAAATTTGTCTGAACTTATTATGACACCGCGTTCGCATGCTATATTAAAAAAACTACAATTCCTAGCGCAACGAGTACAACGGTATATTCACACAACTTTCAATATAACTCGCGTTACGGAATTTTGTCGCAATGAATGAATTGAATTATAAACTTATAAAACAAGATAAGACAAAATAAAACAAAAACATTTCATACAATATGAAAATATTGTGTGAAATGGGAGAAAACAAACTTTCAATGGTCAGATAAAAGTAACCTACCCAAGCATGAATAGCTTTCCGATTGATCTAGCGACCGACCACGTCCCACAATAACCGGCAATAAAACCGCAGCCGTGTAATTTTAATTATAAACATCAGAAGCAAGTAAAAAAAGAACATTAATGCCCATTAAACGTGCAATTACTTATTAAGAAAACACTGCAGAAGCATATTACGACTAAATCGATGGATGACCGAATATAATATAAACTTTGAAAATAGAAGTCTGATAAAACGAAACGCTTTGCGCGATATACGTCTGGATACGCCTGAGACCGGCACGAAACTAGCATCAATAAAGCTTGCCGAAACTGCACACGCAAAGATGCGACAGTTCACAATAAGACTCTGCGCCTGCTGCATATACCCGGCAGGTAAAAGCAATAGATGCGCAAAGCCAGCGCGTCGATAGCACGCGACCATGTGCACGAATTGCAATAGAGACGGTACCTGTGATAAGAACTAAACTAAAATGTGCTGCATGCACAGCGCGACGAGAATCTTCCGCGTAGCATCTCGCACGGCGAATGCGATAAGAAAGTGGTTTATACACAAACGCTGATATGATTCAAAACGAATACAATTCTAATTTAAATTAGGAAATTTTGATTTATGATTTGAGTTTTATTGAAGCATTTATTGAAGAAAGAATTCCGCAAAAGATATCAATTTTCTAATTGCAAGAAATCAGGAAAACACATACTATGAATGATAAAAATTTTACTTACCAGTGTATCGAACACCGCAAATCAAACGTGAGTAGATACTGAAATAAAGAAGAAACAAAACATTAGTTACACAAGTTCGGACCATGGGTTCCGGCGGAATGCTTGTAATAATTAAATCATGCATGTTATTTTAGGAAACAGCGCTATGAATTCAGGTAAAAAATGCTACCACGTGTGTGTAATTTGCAAAATTAATATCCCCCAAATGGAATAATCAATTTAATATAAACCGACTTAACTTTCTGCGAAAAAAAAAATAATTACACACCTACCAGTGTAATGATGAAAAGATTTTAGATCCAGGAAGAAATCTTATCAACTGAAAACTCGTGCAGAAAGTAACAGATACTTATTTATTACTTAAGAACACTCTAACCGCCACAACACATCAAATAAAACAGCCACACATGCTCGTTAAGAATATTTTACTGATGACGAAAAGAATACACGACGATTAATAATTGAATAATTGAAGTCTGAAAACTCACTACTAGGAGACGCGACCGCGGACCACGCGGTGAAACGACTGCCGTGTGCGCTGCGCGTTGCCAGGTACAAGACGGGTACGTCGCGATAATACACGCAGTCGAACAAAAAAGTTGTTTATAAACAAACGTAGTGGTAAACACGTACTTGAGAAGACGAAAGTAAAAATTCACAATATCAAAATTTCTCGACATAAGAAAAGATTACATTGGTATTAGGATGAAATAAGGATGAGGAAAAGCAGGAGAGTGTAATTTCCTAATACAAATAAGTAAATTCATGTCTGCTAATTGTCTTCGTATAAGTTTATATGAAAGATGAAATTTTAATTCTTAAGCAAAAAATTGCCAAGGGGGTGCTTGATACTTTTTTCGACGATTTTCAAAAATTAATATCTCTTAAACTAAAAGAGATAGCTACCAACGAATTGTTGATTATGAAAGATTGGAAAATTGTCTATCAGATAAAAATATAAAATAATTATATTTCCTACAGTAAAAGGTCGAAAAACGCGACTAAAAGTGCTAAAAAGTGACATTTATCAATTTTTGCCCATTTTAATCAATCGCGAATATCTCGTAAACTAAAGAGATAGTGGTCCGATCGCAACGTCTTAATCACGGACTATTCTCTATCAGATAAGCTAGTTAAAACGGAAATCTGAGAGAGATGAAATTTTTAATTCTTGAAAAAAATTGCCAAGGGGGTGCTTGATACTTTTTTCGACGATTTTCAAAAAATTAATATCTCTTAAACTAAAGGGTAGCTACCAACAGGAGTATTTGATTGCCAGAAGATTGGAAAATTGTCTATCAGATAAAATATAAAATAATTATATTTCCTACAGTAAAAGGTCGAAAAACGCGTCTAAAAGTTACTAAAAGTGACAGCATTTATCAATTTTGCCCATTTCCCAATCAATCACCCGAATATCTCATGTAACTAAAGAGATTAAGATCCGATCGCAGCGTCTTAATCTACGGACTATTCTCTCTATCAGATAGGATAGTTAAAAGGAAATCTGAGGAGGGATGAAATTTTAATTCTTAAGAAAAAAATTGCCAAGGGGTGGTGATTGATACTTTTTCGACGATTTTCAAAATTAATATCTCTTAAACTAAAGAGATAGTTACCAACGGAATTGTTGATTGGGTGGAAAATTGTCTATCAGATAAAAATAAAATAATTATATTTCCTACAGTAAAGGTCGAAAAACCGCGACTAAAAGTGCTAAAGTGACATTTATCAATTTTTGCCCATTTTAATCAATCATAGATATCTCGTAAACTAGGGAGACTAATTAAGATCCGATCGCAGCGTCTTAATCTACGGACTATTCTCTATAAGATAAGCTGGATTAAAACGGAAATCTGAGAGATGAAATTTTATAACTTAAGAAAAATTGCCAAGGGGTGCTTATTACTTTTTCGACGATTTTCAAAAGTAATATCTCTTAAACTGAGATAGCTACCAACGAATTGTGTGATTATGAAGATTGGAAAATTGTCTATCAGATAAAAATATAAAATAATTATAATTCCTACAGTAAAGGTCAACACTTGACTAAAAGTGCTAAAAGGTGACATTTATCAATTTTGCACATTTTAATCAATCGCGAATATCTCGTAAACAAAAAGAGATAATAGGTAAGATCCGATCATAGCGTCTTAATCTACGGACTATTTCTCTCTATAAGATAAGCTAGTTAAAACGGAAATCTAGGAGATGGAAATTTTAATTCATAGAGAAAAATTGCCAAGGGGTGCTTGATACTTTTTTGACAGTTTCAAATTAATATCTCTTAGCTGGTAAGTATGCTTTACCAACGAATTGTTGATTATAGAAGATTGGAAAATTGTCTATCAGATAAAAAGGAAAATATAAAATAATTATATTTCCTGCGAGTAAAAAGAAAACTACTGACTAAAAGTGCTAAAAGTGACATTTATCAATTTTTGCCCATTTCGTCAATCAATATATCATCCGTCAAGTTAATCTCTCTAACACCAACGAATTGATTATGAAGATTGGAAAATTGTCTATCAGATAAAGCTATAAAAATAATTGTATTTCCTACGGTAAAGGTCGAAGAAACACGACTAAAAGTGCTAAAAAATTTGTGACATTTATCCAATTTTTGCGAACTTTAATCCAATCACTTGAATATCTCGTAAACTAAAAGAGATAATTAAGATCCGATCGCAGCGTCTTAATGAATTCCGACTAATGAATTCCTAATTATGAAAGACTGGAAAATTCTAAATTACTCTAGACTTATTATGACACCGCGTTCGCATGCTATATTAAAAAAACTACAATTCCTAGCGCAACGAGTACTACGGCGCTTTCAATATAACTCGCGTTACGGAATTTTCTCGCAATAAATTCAAATATAGAGTGATACAGAATTAAATTCGGAAAATATAATTGAATTATAAACTTACCAATGCAGCGCTCATCGGATTTCAAGGGTACGGAAAGTACTGTAATTAAAAGAAAACATAAGTTAAAACAAAAACATTTAATACAATACGAAAATATTATATTCACACATGGGAGAAAACAAACTTTCTGCACTGAGTATCGCAATGGTCAGATAAAAGTAACCTACTAAGCAAGACTGCAGATGCATATTACGACTAAGTTGATGGATGACCGAATATAATGTAAACTTTGAAAATAGAAGTCTGATAAAACGAAACGCGTTGCGCGATATACGTCTGCATACGCCAGAAACCGGCACGAAACTAGCATCAATAAAGCATGCCGAAACTGCACACGCAAGGACGTGAGAGTTCACAATAAGACTCTATGCCTGCTGCATATGCCAGGCAGGTAAAAGTAATAGATGCGCAAAGCCAGCGCGTCGATAGCACGCGACCATGTGCACGAATTGCAATAGAGACGGTACCTGTGATAAGAACTAAACTAAAATGTGTTGCATGCGACAGCGCGACGAGAATCTTACGCGTAGCATCTAGCACGGCGAATGCGATAAGAAAATGGTTTATACACAAACGCTGATATGATTCAATGTATCCAATTGAAACGCTTACCTCATAGCTGCTAACCAACGTCAAGCGATCATTTAGATATAGTTGATTAATCGGTAGCAATGCACAACACACAGTGATACGCAACAGATGCATACAGACGCGGGCACACAACCGACAATACCAACCAACTCGGCTCGACTGACACGACAAGTTTGTTTATTCTATACTAAAATGTCGTGCAGCGCCCTCTGAACGTGTAGGAGCGGTACTACTTATGCGTCAGACTCGCCGATGCCGAGTTTCGACTCGGGTTAGATCGGACTAGTTCGTGCGCGTCATCATTCGCGCCATTATTCAAAATTCGATTTCAAAAATAGATATTTAAATAAATCTATTATTTATACTCGTATGAAGTTTAACATGGTATATTACATACGAATTACAAGTGTTTGTCATAGTCATAGATGTACAAATCAGTAGTACTACGTTTGTTGCTTTTGGGCTGTATATTTACAGACAAAACGTGGAAACGCAAACGTTTTTATGTGAAGTCACATTCAAAATGCCCCTAAAAGTATGTGCCACATGAATCAAGTCAAACTGCTACCAATTTATTGCACGTTTTGCTCATGTTTAGATTGAAAACTGAATTTGAGGTAGGTGCGCAAACACGATTTACGGAAAAGAATAAAATTAATTTGTACGTTGCCTACAGCACGAATGGCCTTCGCATCGATGGATGTTTCGAACGTGGCACGTGAACGTGATAACGTTGGAAGACTATGTTGCATACGAATAAATAAAGACCAACTTAAACTAGTGACCAAATTAAATTATTAATGTAATAAAATGGCGCATTCAAGTAAAAAGATAAAAGCATGCGAGCGCATGATCACTGATCACAAAAACTATTTACATGATTAAACACGCTAATCAAATGAGATTCTCGCTTTACCGAATAAAGCACATGCTACAGAGTCTGTTCGCCGATATGCAATCGTCGTGACAAAAGGCGCCACACTTTTTGCACATCACCATCGCCCTAAGATTGCAGGGACATGCATCGGCCTTTTTCGGTTTCATCACCGCGCCGGGATGCTCGCTTAGAGTGTCACTGAGAATCGTATAGTTGTGCACCTGATTCTCGTCGTCGCCGTAAATAACAGCCTGCTGTTGACCAGGCAAACGTGATCGGCGTGTAATCGCCTGCGTGGCTGGATTGGGACCAGGATGATCAGCCTCGACGCTAGCTGGGCGGCCGCGTGCCATTGTGCCCACACTGTTGATTGTGCCAGTCGGCCGCTGAGAAGGTGGCGCACTCGAAGATCTCGGAACATGCGACTCTACTCCCGCACGCTGCACGAGGATGTATGGCGCGATGGGGCCACCCAAGCCGACTGAATTGCGCGCGTCGGCTGTTTGCGACCAGCAGTCCTGGCGTGCCTCGGCTGTAAGCGCCTGGGCTGGCGGCAGAACCGCCATGGTGACAGGAATACCCTGTCCAGATGTAAAAACATGCTTGACAAAAACAGGTGGACTGGGCTGCCGTTGCTGATAGGTGCCAGCGCGCAATTTCACTTTGACGCCATTATTGTTGTTATTGTTGTGGGTGTGGTTATTGCCAACCAAATTGTTGAAAGTACCTGCAAGAATAACTTGTAAAGTCTAGCAGACAGAAACTCAACTCAAAAAGACTGTATTAACCCACCTGCGGCCGGAAGTGGTGGCGTAAACGTTTTGACCCCGCGAGACGAGCTCACGTTACCATACTGCGTGCGATTGTTGTCAACACCTTTTGGTTTGGTTTTGCTCGCGGTGGTGGCGGCGGCGAGTAGCGATGGCAGCGGCTTAAGCTGTCCACGCAACTGATCGCGATTCGGACTGTTCTGTATCACTGCCTGGCAAATTTGGTAGCTGCGTTCAAGATTAACGGCACCTGGGGGTGGTTTGTTGCCACAGCGTGTCCTGCCTGCAGCACCTTGAGCCTTCAACTTGACCTTTGTGTGGGCGGGCACCGCGCGAATCGGTTGGCTAGTGCTCAGCGCCAGATAAGGCAATGCGCTGGAACTCTGTACCATGCCCGCCCTGGGCATGTTGACCGCATTCTGCGCAGTGGACGTGGTGCCATGGGTGCCTGCCGACGCACTCACCACAGACGGCAGGCACACGATAGTGGTGGGTGGAATAACAGTTGTGATACCTTGCGTAGCCGATGGTGTAACTGTGGCGGCTTGAATGTGATTGGGTGTCCCAGAAATCGAACTACTGGTTACCAAACTGTCGCACGTGACAATTTCCGGCGTGAGAGTGACCTCTAACTCCAACTTTACTTGATTGCCCTGAAACTCTACAAAAGGTACTGCGCCAGCCGGTGCAGTGGCATTTGCTGGAGGGTGGTCGGTTGCGCCCAAAGCAGCAGCGACCATCTCAGAATCCATCTTAACCACGTCGTCGTATGGCCAGTCGGACGGGACGGGAAAGCTGCCTTCTTCTAAACGTACTTCCAACTCCTCTTGCATTGGAATAACTTGCACATGCTCGGTCGTATTCTCGTCACCTACCATGCCTACAGGCACCGAATCAAGCGCATGTAATGGGACTTCCAATAGCTTTTCCGTGCTTGAATCAACCATGTCCCAACAGTCCTCAGCGCCGACTGACGGAAATATCGCTTGTAAATCGACCGGCGGCTCCTCTTTGCAAGCTACGCCGCTTTTCTCTCCAGACGATAGTGATATTTGCCCGGACTCAAGTACATACGATTCAGCATCTAGAAACCGATCTTCGTCTACCTCTACGTCTTGATGCTCGTAGTTAGTAGCCGACAAATTTGACAAAATCTCGGACTCATCTACGGTGCTACCAAGCTTCGAATCGAAGTCGGCCGCATCGATTTTCGGTGATCCTTGCTGTAAAATTAAACTGTTGGGCAAAGTCATAGGGTAGGCCGTTGTGGGCATCATCTGAGCGCCGTCCGCACTATCAGAATGCGTTGGCTCAGACAGTGAAGAAGGCGTGTTTTGATCATTCCAAGATTTAGAATCGTCCGTTTGCTTCAATTCGTCTTCGTCCTCTTCTTTCAGAGACGCAGTGGTCGATCTTTCATCGTCATCGTTGAAATGCATCGTGCTTTCCTCTTCATCATCATCGTCGTCGTCATCATCGTCCATGAACTCCCCTGAGAATGCCAACTGAGCATCTTCCGCTTTCACTAAAACCAACGCAGCAATGAAAAAGAATAATAACGACAAGCAAACGAATTACCTTCTAAGACGACTTGGTCGCAATCCAATAGCGGATCATCGGGATTCTCGTTGTCGGGTTCCGCATGTTCAAGTTTAATCTCCTCATCAACGGGACTTACCTCCACAACCGGAAATATTTCCAGGTCGTGTTTTGTAACGATCGGACTCCCCGACCTTCGCTTCGCCGACGACTCGTCGTGTTCATCGGTGCTGCCTGTGCGCCGGCGTTTTTCCACACGTGAGCTAAAACTATTCGTAATGATTGTCTCGCAGTTCGTATTTGCCGCGACGGCATCACTAATATTAATAATGGTTATTTCTGGCAAATTGCTTAAACTATTACTACAAGTGTCTATCTTATCGCCGCCCGACTCGGACACATTCGCGACGCCAATGTTACATTCACCATCCAGTTTGGTCGGTTTCAACAAAGTGTTTTTGATGGGCAGCAGATCAGGCATTTGTGGCTTGCTCGTACATTCCGACTCCTCCGGCTTGATGTTCGTACAGGACCGTGTTATCGCGCCTACTGTTCGCTGTCGCTTTACCACTGACGGCGGCGTCGGTTTCGCTTTCAAATTCGAAGACGTCGCTGTCGACGGACGCAGCTTTATCGTGGTGCGAATTGGTGGGCGACTGCTGGAGATGAGTTGCGTGTCGCTTTTCCAACTGCGGTCACCCCATATTGGCTCGAAATGTTTCAACTTCCATGGATCCAATCGACTCCTCTCCCTATCGGCTTCCGTCTTCAGTTTTTGCTGATTTTCCGGAGTAAATTCGCCCTCGGCCAACCGTTCTTGCCACTCCAAGCATGCTCTTGCAAAGAACTCATTGTTTAAGCTCGACGATGTTAGTCGGATGGACTCTTTAACGTTTGTGACTGTTTGTCGGTCCACAGCCGGCAACAGTTGCACTAATTTATGCTGATATAATGATGGTAGGGATCCGAATGTCTGCTTATTTAATATTGCGCGCAAATTAGTGTTCACCAAAATGGAATCAGCTGTCTCTAAGTCAATGCATCCTTCTTTGGTTTGCTCCAATTGTGCAGCAGTTGACAGCTTCTTATTAGACCGCTTCCTTGGCTTAATGCTGAAGCCGGGAATAGAAGCAAGCACTTCGCGCATCGTTGGCGTTTTGAGCGGTGGCGGGGTTGTTATCTGTTCGTTTGTCGGTGGAGGCGGCAATGGCTTTACAATTATTCTTGGCACTGACACTGTGTTGCCAGAAGCTATAGTGGTGTTCTTTCTTCTTCTCTTTGCTTGTTGTCGCAATGCATGTTTGATGACCTTCTTGCTACTCTGCTTGTAGTAATCCAAATGTTGTGGTACTATTGGATTGAGAGCATCATCATTCAAATCTGGCACCACATGCAATATTGGCTCCAGCTGTTCTTGTGTCACATCACTTTCCATCACAGAATCACTGCCTAAACACAGGCAGACATTGAGTTCACAGTGGGTAAAGCTGCAATGAAAATATACGTAAATATACACCAATTGGTGATCTCGGCGAGAAATTCAGCGCTCACTTACACCTTAGGAGGCAGCACTCACAGAACCTCGCCGACGCATCCTGGTCGTGCGCTGGCTTTTAATTGAAAACAAAACACTCAGCGATCCGATTCATCCCATCGCACAGCCGGAGTGTTGCAGGTGCCGCTGAATTCTCGATCGCATGTCTTCAGTAAGCCTTTTACCATTCATGCGACTACGAGCGATGTACGCCTTGCGATGCTCTTTACGTTGACAATTTGATCCGCACCGAAGAGTTGTCCGCCATTTCACCGAATGCTAGTTCGTAGGGTGAATGTTTTCTTTTGTGGTCGCGCTCGCTCACTATAGACAACCTTTTATCTTTTGTTTTCTGCAATGCAACCAATGCAACCCTGATAAAGCGCCATCTACGAAAATTGTTCTCAAACATCATGTGTTTGCTACCTGACGTAGGGATCTCTTTGTTTCGCAGCTGTCTGTTCGGCGCGATTCGTTTCTCCACGGTCGCGGCGGTTTGACACACGAAAAACAAACAAGAGGAATATTATTTCAAATATTTGTTTGGTTTTCATTACTAATTTGAAAACATATTCTGGCAAACACCCAATATCTGTGGCCGTATTATCAGTAAGTATTTATTATACTTCGAGAATCTGTTTACACTTAAAAAAACTCCTGCAACCCAAATTACAAACCGCAATTATTTCACTAGTACATATTACCACAAAATTTTGCCGTGATTCTTTTTCGTTACACCCCGAGTCATCTGGCCCCGCACCATTTCACCGCGGGCTATCTCACCGCGAGTCATTTCACCGTGGATCATTTCGCCGCGGGTCATTTCATCGTGGGCTATCTCGCCGCGAGTCATTTCACCGTGGATCATTTCGCCGCGGGTCATTTCGCCCCGCGCCATTTCACCGCGGGCCATCTCACCGCGGGCCATTTCGCCGCGGATCATTTCACCGCGGGTCGACTCGCGGAGGCAGCCAGTGGAGGCAGCAAATCGACGGTTCTCCTAAATAAAGAAATTTGTAGTGGATAGACTTGCCATACGCGTGTAGATGGCGTGAACCAAACACTTAGAAGAAAAGACCAGGCGTTTATAATAATTCTGGAAGTGATTCCAGCATGAGTAATTAATTTAATCCTGAGTAATCATTGCATACCTTGTTTTACATAAAACCTCATGTACTCATTGTTATTATCTTCTAGAGGGTCAAGGATATTACACAAACTGCATAACGCTTGGCATTTTCAAATATGTAAGCCAAACTGTTATTATTGCCCTTTATTTAATCAATTCTTTAAAATGTTCACACAACATTAATAAAGTAATTTAGCAGTGACAATTGCTGCATGAAATATTATACAAACTCACAACAAAAACGTATTTTATTCTCTTGCTAAGTATTCCATATGTTGTCAAATCAATTGTGTTCTGCGCGTTTGATCAAAAGTATATTGCATAGATTGTCGAAACATAGCTTCATTTAAACGATTGGTGGTTTGCATCCGTGACATGCTCACCCGCGAAGAGCGAGTCGAATTCGCGTTCAATTTCGTGAGTTGAACATGCCGTTCGCTTTTTCTTTTGTCGGGTCGCATGGGGGTGAGGTTTTTCAAATGCGAATACAAGAATAAGAGAGGATTTCAATCAAACGAGATGAACTCATGACTTTATGCAAGAGGTGGGCGAACAAATTCTAATCTTATTGATTCTGGAATTACAGCAGTCTAAATACCTACCAGCGCAGTACGATGGCAGTCAGGGAAAACTCTTCTTTATCTCAAAGCCGCTTCCATTTTAAACCTTTGTAAGTGCGTCACTATACACGTAGACACGCGGAAGAATGGCATTTAGGTACTTTTCAATAACCTCCTCACCTCCGGTGCGTGGGGCTTATTTAAATTGCGCGCATTTTACATTATTCGAATGTACAAACGTCGTTTTGTTTTGCCATGTATTTGAAACCGGCCCCTCGTTCACATTGTTGTTTATTTACTGTAAATTTGCGAACCTGGATAAACAACGCTACTCGTCGAAGCGTGGCAAAGTTAGACAGTCGAGTGCACTCGATTTCTGCCCCCCACGCGATTGCAAACGTTATTTCTCACAAGAAAACTCACGTTAATAGCACACATGTCTTTTGCCGGAATTAACCTCCGCGCCGCGCAGCTTCTTTTATTATTACGTATGGTTCACATTGAAGTTGCGGATGCTATAATAATACATAATGTATGAGGAGGTGGCGCGGGTGGTTGCGGCAGCCGTTGTAATAACATCATGGCGGCGTCCATCCAAATTGGCAATTGTGATATGCTCCAGGAGATGATCCCGTCAGATGGGTGCTCTTTTGCTCGGCTACAGATAGGTGTAGGTATGCTGAGAACATCCGCACATGTTGTCGGGCGGGATCGATCCACTGGCGTAACCAGTGGCCTGGAATTATAAAAATAGTCCCACGTGCGCTGACACGAAGTGGTTCGCATAATCACCGCGCAACAATTTTGACTCGAATTAATGCCGGTTGAAATCTGACTAGCGGGCAAATGCGCTGTGCAAACACGCCATCGTCAAAATATTGAAGAATTGAATATCCACATTCATTTTGACCTGTATTTTCAAATTTCCCGAATTTGTCCCACCTTAAGGATTACAATAATCCTACGTGTCTACAAACGTTGGCTCAGGAGTTCCTTGGTCCTTTATAAGAATCTACCTGCTGCCTTCTTCCAAAATTTGATTCTCCCTGCTCCCACCTTTAATCACATGTTGTGTATTGCCGTATCCATAAGCAATTCGACATATTTTGCTAGAAATTAGCATTTTTGAAAAAACTCTCCACCAAAATGATGGAGAAACCCAGGAGACAAGCTAAGATGTCAGTGGCAGCCCGGTATAAAGAATGAGCTACACGGGAGGAGGCATCAAGGCGGGGGCGTGTGAGGATGTGCGGATAAAAGACATAATATAGCAGTATTGCCATCCGCAGCCGCCGTTCTTACATAAATCAGCGGCTTATTAAGTCAAGTGGCTCGGATATAGTAACAGAAAACGTGGCCCGGCAAGGCATGGCACGGGGCGTTTGTATTTTTTACGAGCATGCCAGAAACATTCCGGGCGTTGAGTGTTGGATCTGCTACTAAGAGTATTACAAGAAGGACGAATGCGTTGACACAAGTGTAGAAAGGTGGCAGAGAAATTTTACCGATAACGTTGCTTTCAGATTAGTCGCGTATCGCATTATATAAGTGCGCCTCCGAGTCGGCGGCAAATCCGATAGAATAAATCTGCATCGCGCGAGGAGCAAGGAAGCGCGCAGTTGGAACAAAACCGTCGCATAAATTTATATTTAGCATAAAAATAATTCTTCTGTTTGGTGGCGGGTAGGTGCGCTCGGCGTGCGTTGGCGCGTATAATTCAGAGAGGGTTAGTTTAACAAAGTGCCGGCCCGCTTTTTTGCGAAACGGCAAAACGGGGATTTTATTTTAATGGCTGTGTTGCTTTGCGTACAATGCAGGAGAATATAAGTATTTGCGGTGGATAAATTTTCCGCGCCGAAGAGTTATACGCTTATGTACCATCCCTTAAACCGTAACATGGGAGGACGCTGCAAAGTGCGGCGGGCGAAATAAAAAGCCCAGAAACACTATCTTTGTATTTAATTTAAACGGGGCAGTTTTCGGGTAATAAAAATGCACGCCTTCTGGCCTCGCGGAAAAGCGTCTTTTTATTTATGGCGATTTCGGGCCATGCGCTCATGCCCCAGGCGAGCTTCTTTCGCCGCTCGAATTTCCAACTATTCCCGCTCTCATTTACACGCATTTAGCATTCGGTTATTATACGTTGCAACACTTTTATTTATTTCGTCTGGTGTAGCGGTGACCGCCCACACCCGGAACGAGGCACCGGAAGTTTTTCTTGTTTGCGTCTGCGGGGCAAGATTAATTTCGACAGTAAATGTTTTCGCTTTTTATCTTTCTGCCGGGGAGATTTCGGCAATTAGCCGAGAGCACGATGCTTGCAATAAACCCAATAAGCATCTCGTTTTATTCACCAAAAATGTTTTTCCAAGCATCAAGACAAAGTCAAGCAAATAGAATTGATTCTAATTGCTATTGTCAACCGATAAGAGCACATAAAACGCATATAAATAAAGATAATAAAGATCAAAGATCAAATCCTCGTAAAGATAAAAGTTTTTCCTACCGCGGAATATAAATATTTAGCAGCTGATGTCTATTAGCATCCCTTAATTGAAACAAAGCCCAATTGACATTGTAGTGCACTGATAGTAATCTATTTTATCTATTGGGATGACTGAACATTTTGCGGTCATTGCCAAGCTTACTGAAGCGATATTATTGCCACAACGAGAGAAAAACTCGTCAGTCATATTTCGCTCCACGGTGGCAGCAGTAAACTTTTATGCCGTAACTTTTCTCAGATGCACAAATGTCGACCGTAAAGACGCAGGAATAAATTTTACGACGTAAATCGCTAGCGACCAAAATTATACGATCTGCATTTCTGATGAAACAATGATCGCAAGAAGAATCTTCACGTGGGAGCGATAAAAATGGGAAATAAAGCACGCATTGCTGGTCGCGGTCGTATGTGCGATGCTGGCAGAGTGGAGAAATTAAGATTAATTAATGATTTGCTTTTACTGCGTCGCTGTAATATATTCCGCTCTTAGCTCACTCGGAGTGCGGAGAAGATATTCGTTTTATCATTCCTATAGCGGTCGAACCAAATGCTAGACATGCACAACACGGCCGTAACGCAAACAGATACACGCGCAAGAGAGGTTGCCGAAGAAGCGAAGGGATGCGATAAATTTTTTGTGTTTATTCCTTTCGTATGGTGGACGAAGCCATCTAATTTAGCGGCATGCATTATTTATAACAAAAAATTTGCAATTTGCGTCAATGCCGTGCTCGGCTGCCATTGGTCAGACGAAAAGAATTGACCGCTTCCTTGGCGTCTGTTGCACGTTAGGATTGGGCGACGATGCGACGGCGGCGAGCGTCGTGACGCCGCTCGGCACGCGGCGGGCGGAGCGCTCTTTCTTATCTCGTCTCCTTATTGCTCGGTTCCATCCAGTCAGCGTACTTCCGGTTTTCCGCTCACGCCACGTGCCCTTCCTACTCCTCGAGCTCGTCCTCGCCGAGAGAGAGACGGACGTGCCGGGACGCTCTGCACGTCTCTGACGCCGCTACCACCGCCGCCGAAGCAATCAGCAAAAATATCGAAAATACATTCGGTTCATACCTACCGCTGTAATCGCATTTTTCGATAACCGAACGTAAAAGTATAAATTACAGCCGCCATTCGATTGAATTCATGCAATTTTCGACCGTTAC